ATAATCCCTGACGTCATCCATTGGACAAGATTCAGCTCGATCTTCTTGAGATTGTCGCCCATTCAACTGTGTAATCGAAAGAGTATATTGTAAAGGGTATTGTACAAGTTGAACAAGACTCAATATGATCGTGAATTTCATTCATACGATCCTTCACTGGTCGGAAGTTGTAAATGAAAGTGGGATCGGGATGGATTCGATTGAGGGAAAACGAAAAGGAGATCAACTAGAAATGAAAACGAAAGGGGAAAGCACCTGCATACGATTAGCGGAAACACATGCTTGGATCAGGGAAATGGAAAGAAAAGAAAATGGAAATGGGGTGGAGGTGGAGATCGCCTTTGATATTTCTCACATAAAATCGAATCATTCCAAGGCTGATCTTGGAAAGAGGGGAACTTCAAGAAAGTCGTTCAACCAAGACAATTCCCTCATGATCAGAAGCTAGGAACCTGGACTTGTCCTGATAAAATCAATGGCTGAACCTAATCCTAGGCCTGAATCTGGACCTGGACCTTGGACCTGGAATGGATCCAGGATCTAGGGTTACGCTGGGTCTCAAAGTAAGCCAAACCAGTAACTAAATCATGATTCTAGGCCTGGACCTGGAATGGATCCAGGTACAGGCCTCGAATCATGATTTAGTTACTGGTTTGGCTTACTTTGGAGCCCAGAGTAACCCTAGATCTTGGACCCAATGATCTAAAGACCCAAGAACCCAGTTCCTCGCCGTAGACATTTCTAAAAGAATCCTCCAGAAAGTTCAACCATTTCCAATCTAGAAAAATGTCTAGAAAGTCTAGAAAGTCAAAGAAAGAAGAAAGAAAGAAAGAAAGAAGAAAGAAAGAAAGAAAGAAGAAAGAAAGAAAGAAAATCTAGAAAAATTTCAAGTATATCTTGAAGTGTCTACGGGAAAAGAATTAAGTGAAACTTCCGAGTTTACTAAATGTGATATTCTGAAAGAAACTAGGAAAAGATATAGGGAAAAACTTCTATAGTATGTATGATTTTTCCTTTTTTTTTTCTCTCTCCCAGAAAATCTTCCTCAATCAGTTAATAGAGGCCACTTTTCTCTCGTCTTTTTTCCTCTTTTTTTTTGCATAAAACGTGGAATTTCTAATGGCAAAAGAAAAACGAGAAGTGTAAAAAATGCTAAAAATTGGATAAAAACTTAAAGCTTTAAAGGTTTTTGGGGAAAATTTTTGAGCAATGAATACACGAGAAGGGGGGAAAGGTGTTGTGAGAGAATTTCAAAGTCACATTCTCAATGCATAACATTTTGCCTCTTTTCTCTTGAAAGGTGTCCTATTCAATTTCAACCGTTTTTTGGATAAAATTTTGAGGAAAATGAGGGAGGAAAAGAGGGGAAAAAGAGGGGAAAATGAGGGGAATCAATAGATCAATAGATCAATAGAGAATCAATAAATCAATAGAGAATCAATAGATCATCAATAAATCAATAGAGAATCAATAGATCACAGTTGTGAAGTGAAGTGAATCTTTGAATTGTGCTCATCGAGTTGATTAAGCGATCGTTTATTGATTGAGTAAGATATTTATAGATATTTCTAGAAAAAGTGATAACATAAAGAAGATAAAGAAGATAAAGAACATAAAGAACATAAAGAACATCAAGAACTAATCAAAGACATTTAAAAAGTTTTGTTGAATGAAATGGAGAGATCAATGGACGGAGAAGGGATGGGGAAAAGAAGAGATGGAAGGGGAGGGTGATGAGCCGGAAAGACTCTTCTAATTGACTGCAAAATGGAGACGAATTCCTTCTCTACTCCATTCCTCTCTTCTTTTTGTCTTTTTTAGACTCATTTCATTTCAGAAGAACCTGAGATGGACAAAAATTTAAAACGGTTTTTGTTTTCCTTGTCTTCTTGAAAGAAGACAAGGAAAGGCTAGCTAGACTAGAAAGGGTAGACAAGGAAAGGCAATCTGACTTCTATCTGACTCTTTCTGACTCTATCTGACTTCTATCTGACTCTTTCTGACTCTATCTGACTTCTATCTGACTCTATCTGACTCTATCTGACTTCTATCTGACTCTATCTGACTTCTATCTTCTATCTAGGCAAAAAAAATCCAATCTCAACCTGTGAACCTTTAAAAAGCTACACTTGCTCACTTTTTACGAGAATTTAAAAGAAAACAGCACTCATCAAAGTAAGATGAAGAAAAGGAGATTGAAAGGAGAGGGTGGGGGAACTTTTTTGAGTAAACATTTACAGGTAAACAGAGAGTAAACATTATTGTACATATTGTGATAGGAGAATGGAAAGAGGGGTCTTAAAAAAAAAAGAATTTTTGATATAATATCTATCAAGTTGGATAATATTCAATCATTAAACGTAAAGAGTTAAAGATTTAACAAAATGATGCTGGAGAGATGTGATTTACGGAAACATTTTGACAATGGGAATTGCCAAAATGCGAGCTGCCTTTTCGCTGATCAAATAAATAATGAAAACTAGGTAAAGAACAAAAATTTACATATAAAATTGTATAGAAAAGAGATGAAATAGTTTCAAAAAAGGGTTTAGCTGTCTTTTCAAAGATTTAGGACTCACCTAGTCTGACTGGACTTAGGAAATTTTCGTTTTAACAATCTCTGATTAGAAATAAAAGCCTTTTAGTTTACTGTAAATTAGATTTGTTTTTAGAAAATCGAAAACCTAGTCACATCAAATCGATAAAAGAGCGTAGTGTAAGGCTTGAAGAGAAACGATCAAACGGAATCAAAGAAAAAGTAAAAGAATTCTTTTTCTTATCTCGACCCCTTTTCGCCTTTAATAAAACATAAAAGCACAAGCAATGTTTCAAAAAGTCAACAAACAGACATTGGAAATGAGAAAATGAAAAAGAGAATCAGAATCGAGAAGAGACGAAATATTGGAAAGGGAAAAGAGTCATTGTCAAATGTTTGGAAACAAAAAATGGGGAAAATGAAGAAGAAAAGGAAATGATCGTGAAAAAGTAAATAAACGGGGTGAAATTGGGGGGGAAGGTGAGGATTTATGAGATCATTCAAAGATTCTTTCAGATAAATGGAAGGGGTAATGTAGGACAAAAGATTCGAGAAAAACAGAGAGATTTGAGGAAAAGAAAGGGAAAGAAAGGGAAAGGAAAGGAAAGGAAAGAAAAGAAAAGAAAGAAAGAAACGAAAGAAAGAAAAGAAAGAAAAGAAAAGAAAAGAATGATTTCTTTTTAAGACAGGCTTCTTCACTCTCGATTAATTACAAATTGAGTGAGAAAAGGGAAAAATGGAAGATGAGAGTAAAAGGGGGACTATAGAAGAAGAGATTTGTTCTGTTAAAAGGAGAGGACATATTTTGAAACAAGTTTCAGAGTAGAAGATGGTAAAATTAAATAAATAATGATAAATAAAGGTGATTGAATTTTGAGAGTTTCGATGATTGAATTTCGTAAGGATTATTTTGTTTGAGAGTGAGATTTGATTGTTTTAGAGGAAAAGAGATGTTTGTAATTGTAGTTCAAAGCAATGTTAGAGGCAACAAGTGTGGCTTTTTGAAAGCTTTTTGGAATTATAATTTAAAGGTTGATAAATGAAAGATGTCAAGATTTCAAGATAGATGATGGATGTCAAGATAGATGATGGATTTCAAGATAGATCATGGATGTAAAGATATTAAGGTATAGATCTTAAGGTACAGATCATAAGGTATAGATCATAAGGTATAGATATTAAGGCACTGATATCAAGGTACAGATCTTAAGGTACAGATCTTAAGATACAGATATTAAGATACAGATCTTAAGGTACAGATCATAAGGTACCGATCCTAAGATACAGATATTAAGGTACAGATCTTAAGATACAGATCTTAAGATACAGATCTTCAGGTATAGATCTTAAGGTACAAATATCAAGGCTGTTATCAAGGCTGATATCAAGGCACTGATCAGCATCAGATCAGCAATCTCTTGATCTAACGATCCAGATATCAGATCACTAGTCCCTTAATCTTTTAGCTATTGTACTCAGTTTTTAACAAGTTTAAATCGTGAGATGAAACCGAATGATTGAGGAATTCATGGGGAAAAAAAAGGAGTAAAGGGAGAATCGATCCATTCAACGACACACGAAAAAGAAGAGGACCGGGTCTCCGTCTCTCTGAATGCCCTCAAGCTGTGTCCTCTATTCACCCCACATCTCCTCACCCTCCACATTTCATCGAATCTCTCAAATTCTTCACCATCTTTCACCCATTTCCTTCTCTTCTTAGCTCTTTCTTTTCTAGATGTTTCCCCCTTCATCATTGAAGCTTTCTTCTTGTATCTAGACACCTTTCCATACCCTTCCCCAGCTCTCTCTCATCCCCTCTAGGCGGGCACCGTTGTAATCAGAGGTGGCCAGCCTCACCCCCCTTTCCCCCCAAGGGAGGCCCACCATTCCCACAAAAGAATCGACTTCGCTTTTTTTTCCCTCATTCCCCTCACCCCTTGCACACTTTTTCTCAAAGCCTCGATTATACAAGGATTAATTGGATTTTGAACCCTATGAATACATAGACTTTTCTCGCCTCATTTCTCGCCTTTTTCTCCATTTGAAGTCATGTTCTCACTCTTGTTGCCATATCAAATCCTTCTTCGAAGAGAAATTAGACGAAACTCAAAAAAGTGGATTGAAAAGGATACTGTAGAAGAGTTTTGTTTTCAAAGAAACAATTGTATAAAAAGGAAAGCTCCTTGAAAGGCTCTCTGTTGAAATGATACTGTAATATTCAATTGGGCTCTTTCATTTAATACAAATTTCAATGAAATCACAATTGAAAGACTTCTGATGTACTTTGAATGCGTTTTAGAACATCATTTGAAACATTTGAAACTAATAAAATTTTATTTCAACTAGATATTTGTAGTGAAGAATCACTGGGTTCGGAAAGTCGAATTTGGGGAAAATTTCTGGGGTATACTGTGAGATAAACAAAGATTATGCTAATGAAGAAAAGAAGAGCTAAAGTTATTTATGAAGATGACGAGGTGGACGTATTTTCAGCGAGTGTGAGAGCACTCTTGAAGGAATACGGTTGGAAGGGATACCCAAGACCTTGGTAGAATTTCGATTGGAATTCAACCCTGAAATTCGTTGAGATATTGGATGATTGTAGATAGTTATAGGTTAAAATTAAATTGAACAGCTTACCTGACAGCTTACTTGACAGCTTGTCTGATTACTGATAGCTTGTCTGATTACTGATAGCTTGTCTGATTACTGACAGCTTATCTGATTACTGATAGCTTATCTGATTACTGACAGCTTGTCTGATTACTGATAGCTTACTTGACAGCTTCTCTAATTACTGACAGCTTGTCTGATTACTGATAGCTTACTTGACAGCTTCTCTAATTACTGACAGCTTGTCTGATTACTGATAGCTTACTTGACAGCTTCTCTAATTACTGACAGTTTATCTAATTACTAACAGCTTATCTAATCCCTTCTCTCACATACCAATGAAGTCGAAGTGCGTGAAGGAAAGCTGAGAGTCCCTCCATCAAGACGAGAATCGAAAAGGTGAGTCCGGCAAAGAAAAAGAAAATCACGTAGACGGCGATTGAGCCAATATAACGATTGTCAGACATTTGGAAACCTTTCTCGAATACCATGTCCCATAAAACTTCGGAGAGCTCTGAAAAGGATTGATGATTAGTTGATGGTGATCACATACGAGCATGGGCAAGTGAGAGAGCCCAAAGACGGAGATACGAAGCCGTATGAGAGACACAACCCAACACGTATTCGATTGAATGAATTGCCTGATGCACCATCACATCACCAAAATTCTGAAATGAAAAGGGTATTAGTCTGGAAAATCTAGAAGATCTTCTCCTTCCTTTACTTTCTTTTAAAACCAACAAATACACCAATTGAACTATGGTTTGTTTCATTAGAAAGGTCAATTAGTTTTCTGCTAAATAATATTAAAATGATTTTTAAAGATAAGCATAGTTGACAAGTACCTCTCCATGATGATCTCCTCCACCATGATCGCCTCCTTGATGATCTCCATGATCTCCTTTATGATCAGCTCCATTAATCACCACCTCACCCTCTTCGCTCAACACATTCGCGCGAACACTCTAGAATGCAATTTTATAAACTTTTATAAACTTAAACTTATAAACTTAATATCAGAAATTTGTCTTATCATTAGTATTTCAGAAATTTGAAATCTTCATCATTTTTCAAACGTCCTTCTTGACTAACGTATTCTCTAATCAACTTTTGAAAGCTACCATAAGCTTTTGAAAGCTACCATAAGCTTTTGAAAGCTACCATAAGCTTTTGAAAGCTACCATAAGCTTTTGAAAGCTACCATAAGCTTTTGAAAGCTCATCTCTATTTACAATTTGTCTACTCTTTCTACTTTTCAATTTGTACCCAAGAATTAGAATTAAAAGCATGTTTAGTTTCTGACGTGTTTTAGAAAAGACAACTCCTAGTTCTAGTCAAGTTTTCTTTCTCGGTTAACTTCTTCAATTTTCCCCCCAATTTTAAACTTTTCAAAAGCCAATAGCCAAAAGCCAATAGCCAAAGGATCAGAACCTCTAATTTCTCAAAAATTACATTCTCTCTCAGTCTTCTTAAAAAGAATGAGAAGAAAAACTCTTCCAAGAGGAGTGCATGTAGATGTTTCATTTGGGTGAAGATCTTCCCCCCATTCCCATTCTTTTTCATCTATCGGTTCCCATTCTTCCTAACACAATTAGTCGAAGAGCATATGCAGTCGTTGTCTTCATCTTCTTTCTTCATCTTCTTTCTTCTTCTTTCTTCATCTTCTTCATCTTCTAGATGAAAGACTCTCCTCATCCCATTTCATCCCCATCCTCTTTTCTTCCTTTTCTTCATCTAGGGACTTTTCGATTATTGTCTAGAAGTCACCAAAGACAAGGAACTATTCTTCAAAGATTCTTCAAAGCTTCTTCAAAGATTCTTCAAAGATTCTTTAAAGCTAAAAAAAGTTATGAAAGTTTCATGTAAAAACGAAGAATATTATGAATATTGAACTTAAAAATAATGGAGAATGGATATAAAACACCGGGATTTTGATGGCCCTTTCCGGTTTATGGCTTGTAGTTCGCGAGAAAGCACTTATTGCAAGGAATATTAAGGATGAGGTCAATTTTACATAGTTTCCCCATTGAATCGATTCCTTTTTTTTAGATTTTCAGATTTCAGATTTCAGCATGTTTTTCGGTGGTCGTTACATCATTCATACACAAAACACGGTCACGTTCATAAATTGATAACTATGATGTCAGCTGATTTCAGTTGTTGAAGTCAATATGGTTCCAATATGGTTCCAATATGGTTTGGATACAGTTCCAATATGGTTCGGATATGGTTCCAATATGGTTCGGATACAGTTCCAATATGGTTCCGATATGGTTCGGATACAGCTCCAATATGGTTCCGATATGGTTCGGATACAGCTCCAATATGGTTCCGATATGGTTCGGATACAGCTCCAATATGGTTCCGATATGGTTCCAATATGGTTCCAATATGGTTCTAGTTGATTCCAATGAAATCTAGTTAATTAAAATCATATCTAGATTTCTATTTAACGACATCCAAATGATCTTTCACTATATCTAAACTTGTAACGAAAATATCTGCCAATTCTTTTTTTTCATCTTTTTCTCAGCACCAATCCTTCAATTTTGACTATTTTGACTATCATTCGATGTAGAATAAAATTTCGCGTCGAATGATACCAAAAACTAACTCAAAATGTAATATTCATGCAAAGTTATGAGGCAAAAGGTTAAGTCCCTTTCATAATGAGCGGGGTTTAGGTTATTAGCCAACAACTTTACGTAGATGCTAGATTTTGAGTTCATTTTGGTATCATTCAACGCGAAATTTTATTCTGCATCAAATGATAGTCAAAATAGTCAAAATTGAAGGATTGGTGCTGAGAAAAAGATGAAAAGCCTTAAATTGCTAAGAACAGACAGATATTTTCGTTACAGATTTACTAAACACCAATAAAACTCACAATTCTTTCCGCGGCTTCTTTTTTCTTCTTCTTTTGCTCGAGAAGGAAATGAATTGGTTTACCAAAAAGCATAATTGGGATACAAGTGACAGCGATGAGGACAAGAATCGCTTCAACGTAACCCTGTAAATTTCACATATTAATCATTTGCCGGCCGATCATTTGCCGACCGATCATTGCCGGTCGATCATTTGCCGGCCGATCATTCGCCGACCGATCATTTGCCGGCTTGATTGACTTTTGAGAAATTCTTGAACGAAAAGCCGAGAAATAGTTTTGAATTATTGGGTTGGTGAATTGAAAACTGCGGGCTATTGTCATATGTGACAGTTTGAGCACTTTCTTCAAAAGAAATCCATTTTGGTGTCAATGGAAAAGTTGTAGAGAATCAAAAATGAAACTTATATCCAAATTTTCAGAATGATTCAAAAACTCGTTTTCAAGAAATGCCGAATTTACGAATTTTCACAAAACTTGCATTTTAAGCGAAACTATTAAGTGTATCTTTTTGGAAATTTGGCTATAAGCCTAATTTTTGATTCTCTACAACTTTTCCATTGACACAAAAATGGATTTCTTTTGAAGAAAGTGCTCAAACATTGGAGATCTCCAGTCCTCGATTTTTGAGTCTCACACTTGTCTCACAAAAAAACCAAAATCCTACCACGAAAGAGGAATCAATGTTGCAAAACTGACTCGCTCTAAAATAAATAGCCTTGTTTGGGAACTTTTGGCGCATTCCCCATACAGTCCGGACCTCGCCCCTTTTGATTACTATTTATTCCGGATCATGAGTAATGAGCTTGCGGGAGAACACTTTAATTCGGAAGAAGCAGTCAAAAATTGACTTTGAAAGTTTTTCGATTCAAAACCAAAATCCTACGAAGAAAGAGGAATCCGCAAATTGCCTATAAAATGGGCAGAAGTCGTCATTAATAATGGAAATTATTTGGAATTAATTTATGGTTTTATGTTGAATAAATTTTCGTTCAAAGTCCGGCATTTTTCAATTCACCAACCCAATAGTTCAGATCATTTTTGAACAAGGAAGAAAGCTGATCAACACCAAGAAACCTTTCAAAATCACTTTTACTGTAATTAGTCGAGAGATTAGACTTTAAAACATCTTTTAAATCTCTTTTTATCCAATTCACTCACTTGTCCCGGATACCATTGTACCAAATAACAAGCATCGTGTGTTTTTCCCGGTTGACCAGGTGGACCTTTCTAAAATCTCTACATTTAAGTATTCAAAGCTTTTCTATCACTTGTGACATGTCAATAAAGCCAGCGTCTCTTCCTTTAAACATGAACATATTGATGAGACCAATCTAAAATAAATCAAATGGAATCAAATGGAGAATCAAGCACAAACCAAAAGCGAAGGAGCACAATTTGAGCCCGGATAATATTGGCCTAAAAGTTTTATTAGGTTTCTAATGATTTCTCATGCTTACCAAAAGCATTTTCATTTCTAAATGCTTACCAAAAACATATCCTGGTCTCACCCAGAAGAATAACCATTTCATAATAATCTCTAAGCATAAATAGATAAAAATACACGACATGAAGACGATTTGTGGGATGAATACTGTGAGAATATCGATTTTTGAGTTTCGGAATCTGGAATGAGTGTCAGTTGGTTATTGCTCGAAATCTCATAAACCCGCTTATCAGAACCTATCGATGTGGGATCGAAAAATGTAGCTTATGATGAGATCTAGTGGGGGATTAGAGTGTTGAGCTTCTGCAAAAGCTTGGAAACCATAAAATAGGCATCAACTCTTGCATCAACTACTATTATTCGGTGCACGGAAAAATACGATAAAGCTTTCACTTGCACTCGTGCACGTCAAACACTGTCATCAAACACATTCAACTATACGTACTTGTAGTTCTGGAAAGAGAGCAACACTCCGAATGTCATTTGCGAGATTCCGAGGATCACCGACAATTTCATCTTCATCGAATTCAAGAAGTTCAACTTGTTCTCAGCTAAATTCCACACAGGATCGACTCCAAATGGATAGGGACCCATATCGTGGCGATACGCTGTGTCCGGGTTCAACTGAAACCTCGTTTATAGCTAGACTCAGCTGATAGCCTTTACCTCGATAAGAATATCTTCTTTCTTTTGTGCCTCTTGATTCTCGAACCAATGGGTGAACTCGGTGTAGCTAAATTGATGAAATTATTCGTTGCTTGCCAGCTTGCTGAAAACACATCCCTTCTGGTGAACTCATTTTTACAAACTTTGTGCACCGGTGTACTGTCTAGCAGTATCCCAATCAAACTATCGTAAATACTGTAATAGTACCCCACCCCCATAATGACGGTGCGGAGTGTTGTGTAGTCTAGCTTTGAACAAGTTTTTCTCGACACTGGTTTATGCTACAATGCGCGCTTGGGTATCAAAAAATAGCCCTGAATTTCAGCTATTTTTTGATACCAAAGATGCATTTTTGAAAGTACGGGCGCTTTGAAAAAATGAAATACTAAAAAACTTTTGCGACTACGCGACTGTACGAGGGGGTGGGGTACTATTACAGTATTTACGGTAGTTAATGAAATCTCATTCATCTAGCAGTATCCCAATCAAACTAGGTACTCCTTTACAAAACGAACTTGTACGGATTGACCCAACTCGTCCCGAAAATGTTAAACGATTTCGCGAAAACGTCATTGTACAGAATGCCAGCATGGATCGAGAAAAGACCCATCAAGAGAATAATATAACGACCACCGAAAAACATGGTGAAAATCTGAAAAAAAGGGAACGATTCTATGTAAAATCCTTAATATTCACCTCATCCTTAATATTCCTTGCAATAAGTGCCTTCTCGCGAACCACAAGCCATAAACCGGAAAGTGCCATCAAAATCCCGTGACCCAAATCGCCGAACATACACGAGAAAAGGAATGGGAAAGTGATTATCGTGTAGGGTGCTGGAAAAGGAGGCATTGGCATTCAAAAAACAGTCTATCTATTGTCTATTGTCTTCAAATCTATTGTCATACCTGGATTCAACTCCAAATATGAGGCAATGCCGTACGAGTCGACGATTCCCTGGAAAACCTGAGTGAATTTGTTTGTTCGATTGTACGTTGGCGGAGTCTCGTTCGTCTCCAACAGATTCAACACCGGTTTCACCGAAGAACCCGTTTTCTCCTAAAAAAAAGAAATATTAGCGTTTAATAGATTTTACATTTATCGATCTATCTTCTCTTCAAGCAGTATATGCATTTATCTATCTATCTTTTCTTCAAGCAAGATATTCTTTTATCTATCTATCTTCTCTTCAAACAGTATATACATTTATCTATCTATCTTCTCTTCAAACAGGATATGCATTTATATATCTATCTTCTCTTCAAACTCCCCAACCACTCCTCTTTCAAGCGCATCTCGAACATTGTCCACGTCAGCCAATGGAACCCAGCACTCGGCCACGAAGAAACGACCGATTCCATCATACGTGAAAAGATTCAAATTATGATAGACGGTTTTGTGGAGACGGACCTAGAGCAATTAAATAGTACGGTAGAAGAAATGTTTGTCTTTTTTTAAAAGATTGGAGCTCACTTGTTTCAGCCAAAGATTGTAGTTGTTGGCAGCAGCCTGGAGGACACGGAAACGATGCTCTCGCGTTTGGCCCAACACCGTTTGCATATCCTGTTTAAATACTGTTAGTTGTTTACTTAAAAGTACTATAAAGATCTTAATCGTTTGGTTACGGTAATTTATTATCTAGCTAAATGTACGACAAAGACTACAGTATGCCAGGGAATTATTAAACGAACAAGTCCGACTCAAGGCATTCAAGTAAAGCTCAAGAATTCAAGTAAAGCTCAGTATACATTGGGATACTGTAGTTGTAGGCTGTAGTTGTAGGCTACAGTATCCTGATGTAGTTGTAGACTAGAGTACTTACACCTACAGCTTTTACTTACAGTATCTTTAAATTCAAAGATTCAACGAGCCTTCCTCTTACCTGATTCCTCGCCCTAACATCAGCTGCGGCAGCCTGACGGTCTTTCGATGTTTGCGGGCAATTCTTGAACACTTTCGCTTTGAATCCATCACAAACTTTGTCAATGATCGTCTTTCTAAAATCTTGCTATACATCTTTCAATCTTTGTACAATACTGTTGAAGGAAAAACCTTCAATAGTCCAATAAGAGGATCAATTACAGTTACTTACAAACGATCTCCTTTGTAGAAAATGATGAACACCGCTCGTTGATCTTTCTCACCCTAGAAATAAGATTTTTGAAAGACTCTATTTCTCTTTCTAATTTCTTAATCCTCTTTCTTATTTCTTATTTCTTTTATTTCTCGCATACCGTTGTCGCATTCACAAAGCTTTGCTCAATATCGGAACTTCTGACGTAAGCTGTGTGATGACAGGCTGAAAGAAATGCAAATTTCAAATGTTTTTCTTTAAAATAATGGATGATTGATGAACGAACCTCTCCACAAAACCCTCTCAAAAGCCATCATTCGATCACGTTTAATCACTCCGACCACATATCTGCAAAATGAAACGTGAATAGCATACCGTAATTTCCAACGATAAGTTTCCAACTTACTAGCCAACTAGACTAGCCACTTTTTAGTGAAAGTTACCGTAAACACTGTAATAATACTCCACCCCCTCGTACAGTCGCGTAGTCGCAAAAGTTTTTTAGTATTTCATTTTTTTCGAAGCGCTCATACTTTCAAAAAATGCGTCTTTGGTATCAAAAAATAGCTGAAATTCAGGGCTATTTTTTGATATCTAAGCGAACATTGTAGCATAAACCAGTGTCGAGAAAAAATTGTTCAAAGCTAGACTACGCAACACTCCGCAGGTCATTAGGGGGGTGGGGTACTATTACAGTATTTACGGTACCTTAAATCCTTCAAAAGAATATTCCTCCCTATAAGATGGCTTTTCCATCACTCGTATTATGGTATGTATGCAAATTTCGTAAACTTTCCGTCGTCAAGAAGAGTTTCGTGATCATTTTACAATCAAGAATTAGCTCTACCAATATACCGTATTTTCTCTAATAGTAGTGCACCCCAGTGAGCCGATTTGATGACTATTTTACGGTTTCCAAGCTTTTGCAGAAGCTCAACACTCAAATCCCCCACTAAATCTCATCGTCAGCTACATTTCGTCAGCTACGTCAGCTACATCGGCTACGTCAGCTACGTCAGCGACGTTAGCTAAGTCAGCTACGTCAGCTAAGTCAGCTAAGTCAGCTACGTCAGCTAAGTCAACTACGTCAGCTACGTCAGCGACGTCAGCTACATTTTCAGCTACACGTCAGCTACGTCAGCTACGTCAGCTACAAGATCTCATCGTCAGCTACATTTTCCGATCCCATATCGATAGGTTCTGATAAGCGCTTTTCGAGATTTCGAGCAATTTAGGCGACGCTCAGGGTGCACTACTATTAGAGAAAAAACGGTACTAATTTAGAAGTTTTCATTGAAATAAACTCCTTTCCAGGTTACTGTACTACTTTTTAAGCCAAGAATTGAATAAATGCAAAGTGTGTTTGTGCAAATTTTCACTGCTGTACCCAATTCTTCGTTTCACAAACTCACTCGACGGGATTTTTCTCCCTTTGCGCATCGGGATCCTCCTGAATGTACAACTCCTCCTGTGCAGCGTCATCGAGACCCTCAAATTTGCTATTTGATTCCGATTTTGTTCATTCACAAAATGACTGTGACTCTTAAACAAACCCCCGCAAAGAACTCATCGGTTTTCACAAGAACACTCTCCCATTCCTGTAGCTCTTCATAATTTCTTCTCAACATCGTATCCGAGTCATTCATATTCTTGACGTCTCTCTCCAAATCCGTCAATGTTTGCTGAAATTTTCGATATTATTTGTGACTTTTAGTTCCAAGGTTCCAATCTCTCTAAATTCCCTTCCTTATTTCTCTAAATTCGGTTCCTATTTATCTAAATTCGGTTTCTATCTCTCTAAATTCGGTTCCCAACTCTCTAAATTCCTTTCCTGATTACACTAAAGTCGGTTCCTATCTCTTTCATATCGGTTTCTATCTCTCTAAATTCGGTTCCTATTTCTCTAAATTCCCTTCGTTATCTCTCTAAATTCGGTTCCTATTTCTCTAAATTCGGTTCTTATTTATCTAAATTATCTAAATATAATGTGACTTTTAGTGAGACAACCTCAAGTTGATTGAGTTCAGCGGTGGGGAGAACAGTGTAATCTCCATCGTCACATTTCCCTCCAATCGCAATCGAATCTTTGTTGATTTGACCTTCGAGAAATCCTTAAAATCATTTGTGATTTTGTTTTCTGATTCTGATTCATCAAAAAACGAACTAAGTTTTCTTTCCAACTCATCGAAACGTCGGATATCTCGAACGAACATTCGTTGAAAAGAATTCACATCGGGATTCAGCTGAATTGATAAAATGAGAGAGAGACTTTGAGAACGAAAGGGCAATTAAACGTTTTGGTAACAAGAAACATGTTAACAAGAAGTTGGCTAACATTTTCTAAATTTGTAATTTGATTGCATAAGGAACTCACATCTTTAAACTGAACACTCCCCAACTTTCCCAATTCAGCAACCGCCGAGAAAGCGGCATCTCTTTCAACGATAATCTGCAAAAAAGATAATGCCTTTCAAAAATTTTTTGAACTTTTCGACAAACCTGACAGAAGCGCATTTCTTCCGAACGATAGAGAGACCCCATTTTGGATCTCTCTTTGGCTTGGTTCTGTCTCGAATCTAAATAAGAATCTCGATTACAAAACAAATCGAACAAGTTGAAAGCGTAAAAAAAAGTCTTTTACTAGTCATTTCATAACTTTACAAAGAGATACTTTGAAATAGAGGAGGGTTACGGTATCGGTATCTACCAAAAGTGGATTCTTTTGATCAATTGCAAACTATGCGTCTAAAATTGCAAATATTTCCAAAAGAAGAGTGTGATTGGTGTGATTGTCGATGATGGTGAAAGCGGGAAAAGCGGACTGTCGGAGGGGAAAGGGGGTGGAAGGGAGAGCAACGAGAACCGAGGGTCGCGCATTGGTCTTCGGCCGTGATCGTCGTCCTCTCTCACTCTTTCATTCGTTTCTCTCCGATATCACTTTCCAATACAGTCTCTTCTCCGCCTCTCCTCCGCAATCACACTCTCTCCTCTTTACCGATCATTGTTTTCTTCTCTACCTCAACCATCTCTACGAGACGAAAACACAACAAGCCAACAAGTTCTTTCCCTTAAAAGACTCTCTCTGTACGCACAATGTCTTTGATTCTAATCGGGCACTTTTGTGATTCTTTGCCTGTGTAACCAAAGTTCACGTAAATTGGCAGATCGATTTTTTTTTGGTGCAATCAAACATGATGGAATTCGATGATTCACAGTAATTTTGAAAACAATCGTTACATGTGTTTAAGACACTAAGTAGTTTATTACATCAAAGTATGTATGAAAGGATCGATGTAAAAATGAAGATTTGTACACATGTCAGGACAGTTTGCGAAAATAATCTTTGTAAAATAGCAATCAAATAATTTTATAAACAAAAGCAAGTGAATTCTAATATACTTACAGGAAGAAAGTGAGACTAATTTCAAATTTCAATCAGTCAATCAATCAGAGCGATTCGCTCGCTGAGGCTTCTTCCAGTGCCTAAAAAGAATTGTTATAAAGAAAATGAAGTGTCTCATATTACTTCCTCCAACAAATTGAGATTTTCTTCCAGTTCCATCAATTCACTTGTTTTATCGAATAGTTGTCCGGAGAGCTGACATTCAAAGTTTAAAAAATAATATTAAAAATTTACCGTCAATGATAGATCGAGTTCTTTGTCTAATTGTTCTTCTAAAGAATCGCAATGAGCTTTCCAATAGGCATCGCTTGGCTCATCTTCTGTGAGGTCTGCCTAAATAAAAAAAATATAAAGATCTGAAATAAAACTAAACTCACCGAAGTCACGGGTCCCAAATCGACAAGACTTGAAATTTCAGTTTGACAAGAAGATTCATACTAAAGTCATTTATATGTGCATAGAAAAAACTAACTTTTCAAAAGCAAACGTTAAAAAACTAACCGTCTTGCTATTAAACTGTTTCGTTTCAGTTCCTTTCGTGACATTTATCGCTGCTTTCAATTCTTTTGACAAGAAAATCGATGGAGTCTAAAATTAACTTCAACTTAGTTTGAAAACTCAACATTGTTGTTTTATCTATTGTTAATCAAGTATATTTATTTTGAAAAGCAACCTTGTTCAATGAAGTTTTCCGATCCGAATTCAATGATTGATTCGCCACATCTTTGAGGCCGATTCGGAGAGTTGAAGACATTTCTCGCCTGAAATAAGAAATCAAATTGTTAAAAAACAGAGATAAAACACTCACAGAAAAAGCACTCGCAGAAAAAAAACCCAAGAAATACAGATTCAAATTTTTCTTTGATACAGCAAAACGCGGGTCATCTTTTAGTGCGCAGCGGGCGAGGTATTTCTATTTCAAAAAAGTAGCGTAATTTTTGCGAATCACAAAAAAATAATGCGAATGGCAAAAAAGCCAAAAGCAAAAATAATTTTTTTCTTTAGACTGAATATCTATTATTGCTTTTTATAGTAAATAGGGATACCGTAAGCATTCTAATAGAAGAGCCGGGGCGTAGCTAATTCCTGCCATTTTATTTGCGCAACTCGCACTTATAACTTTGTTGCACTTATTGAGATCTACAAAATGACACCAAACATATAAAGAGTGGCCCACTTAGAAGAAAGTTATGGCGAGTTGCGCAAATGACTATGTTGCGCGAATAAAATGGGGGAAAATAGCCTACCCCAGAGCCGGTTCTTCTATTTTTCAATGTCCCTCTAAAATTCTTTTTCGCGCCATAGCTACTGTATACTAGACTTGACTAGCGAGATCTCGATAAGTCCTTATCGAGGCCTTATCAATAACGAGATCTCGATAAGCTTATCGATAATAGGTAATGCTTTAGTAGATTTCCTCTCAATTGAGATTTTCTGGGGTAATTCGATGCGTTGAGTACGAATTTTGACATCAAAGATCGATACTAAAAGTTTCGGACAACTTATCAAGATTCATGTACGATAATCTGGATAGCTATTGAGATTTCAATTTCGATAAGATCTCGATAGTCAAGTCTACTGTATACCCATTTTCAAGAGCTCGAAAATGGGTGTTTTTGTTTTCATTCGGTTTTCGACGTCATTAAGCTTTTTTAGTCTATAACTATTGTTTAAAGTCTTTAAAAAGTTGAGCATTTTGCTACCCGCGAGTTGAAAAATCCGAAAAATAAAAAATTTCGTCTAGATGAGGCTCTTCAATTTGAATAAATACGGTATTTAAAGACTAAAACAGAAAGGGAATTTATATTTCTACTTTGTATTTTTCTTTTTGATTTTTGTAAAACGTTTTACTTTAGAAATGAGGGAAATTCGTTACGATCGGCAACTCCGTTTATGGGGTAATGAAGGACAAAGCTCGATTGAAGCAGCCGCTATATGCATTCTCGGTGCAGACGCTCTCGGTAAGAGTTTTTACAGCAATTTTACCCTTAATAGGACTTACTACCTAGTCAACGGAATATAAACTTACGATTGTTTTAGTGCCTTTTTCAAGAAAAATTAATTTTTCCTTTTTAGCCACTGAGATCGGCAAATCGCTTGTCCTCGCTGGTGTCGGATCAATTGTGATTATTGACGGAGAGTTCGTCACGGTTAACACCTTTTTTCTATTATATGTAAAAGTTTATTTAGGATGATGACTTGGGGAGCAACTTCTTCTATGAAGATGCACAGTTAGGCCAACAGAGGGGTCAAGCAGCAGCAAGCTTATTGCAGGTAACTTTCGTTTTTTATTGAGTTATGCTGTGTTTTAGGAATTAAACCCGTCAGTAAAAGTTAGCGGCATTGATGCGCAAATTACAAAACTTCAAGGACAAGACATTTTGGCCTACGGAAAGTTCTCACTGGTGATAGCAACAAATCTGCTCGAGTCAAGAGCAGCTATCCTTAGCGACGAGATTTTTCAGGCTGGAATTCCATTTATTAACTGCAGGTACCCAACTATGTGATGTTAAAACGTATTTTTTTATTAAGGACCTATGGATTGGTTGGCTACATCAGAGTTTCTGCTGCAGAGCATCATATAATGAATACGCGTACTGAAAATCCACGTCCGGACTTTCGGTAATGTTTCTATTTTGGTACGCTTTCCTAACAATCGATTTAGGTTGGATGCTCCATTTCCTGAGCTGGTGGCACTTTTTGATGAACTCGATTTTGGAGCGATGGACCACGAAAAATTCAAACATACACCTTATATCTTTTTGCTTATGCAAGCTTTAAAGATGTTTAGAGAGAAGTAATTATTGGCACAGGTTTTCACTAAATATTTGGGGAAATTTCAGTAAGAAAGATCCGCAAGCGTTTCCAAAGTCATATGCTGAGCGGAAGCAAATTGTGGAACTCATATCCAGTCTATCCCATAGCCAAGGACTTGATGAAGAAAACCTTGAAGAAGCCGTGGCAGCAGTGAATCGTTGTATGCATCCTACACTGGTCGGGGCTATGTTTTTGAATTTAGATTCCGTCTAAAACCAAAATTTTAGATTCCGTCTAGCGTTCAAGAGATTTTCGATTCTCCCAAATGTAGTGAAAATACCAAAACAACGGACCCTTTCTGGATGATTTGCTATGCGTATGTGCTTCTAAATTTTGGCATGAAATGTCTTGTTTTTAGACTGAAACAATTTGTCGAACGTCATGGATATTTACCGGTATCAGATTCTCTGCCAGATATGTCATCAGATTCAAAAAGGTATTACTTAAATTTTTTGCACTGAATATTTCTTTTAGCTACGCTCGTCTTCTGAACGCTTTCCGGCAAAAAGCCGAACAAGATGCGGAAGAAATGCTCGAATTAACAAGAGAAGTAAACTATCACTTTTATGAGACCATGTGATTCGGCTGGAATTTCAGGTTGAGCAAACTAGGGGCACGGAAGCATTAATTTCGCAAGAACAGTGCCGAAAGTTTTGCAAAGGTTCAAGATTTGTCGCTATTCTGCGAGGAACACCAATTAAGCATGACATGGAAAATGGATGGAATGTAAGTTGTAAAAAGAGCTGTAATAAGAGTCATTTTGGGGATTTTAGAAAGCCGTGGAGGAATTGTCTACAAGTCACGGTGAAGACAATGACGTAGCTCCAATTACATGGTTTATCCTACTACGAGCCGCCGATAGATTTATGGAGGTTAAGAAACGGTATGAAAATGTTGGATTTTGACGTAACACTTTCTGTTTTAGGCATCCAGGCACAAACGGTGTTCCAATGAGTTTGGACGTTGCTTTGCTTAGCAACTGTGTTGCTGAAGTTATTGCAGATTCTAACGTTAGTTTTATTCAGATTCGATGAATATTATGATAAATTCAGGTCAAAGAAAAAACAATAGCTGCTGGAAATGTTCCTCGTAAAGCTATCGAAGAATTCTGCAGGTGTTAAGATATTTCCAAGTGGTTTACATAATTTAATTGGAGATTCGGATCGAGCTTTCCACATGTTACGGCTGCACTAATCGGTGGAATTGTGGCGCAAGAGGTTGTTCGAGTTTAATCTTCAAAATAGGTACATGTCTTTAGGCTATTAAATTGACGACCAATCAGTACATTCCGCTGAATGATACGCTCATCATCAATCTTCATTCACAAAAGTCATGGACAGCGCGCTTTTAATTGCAGTAATACGTTTTACAAATTTATTATGTTTCAAGCCTGTGATTTGTGAGAGAATAAATACGTTTATCCAATCGCCATAAAAATTTGGTTTAGATGGGTATGCCTTTAAGAACAACACAGTTTGGTTTAAATACAAATTTGAGAAATTCGGTGCTTGTGCCTCTCGGGCCGCGCAATTTTGCCTGTATAGTCTGCATTGTCCACTTCGCCCAGTATAATTTTCGTTCAAAAGAGGCAATTTCCATTCAGTTTCATGATCTTATCGCTACACTTTTGAAGTACCGCCCCCAAGTGTTCCTAAAAAGTGTCCCCAAAGTCCCCTTACAAAGCGTCTCCATATGGGGGCACTTCTTGGGGGCGGTACTTCAAGAGTATACTTATCGCAAAGAGCAAATAGAAAATGAGTATGACTCGTAAGGATGTAGTAATATACAAAATGAGTTATAAAATCTAAAATGAGGGGAAATTGGTGAGTTATAAAAATTCATTTTCAGATACAAAGTGGGCGGCGTAAGGGTAACAAGTATAGTTTTCGAGTGTCCCCTCTGAATTTTCAGTTTTTTTTATGCCTTTCCCAAAAACTAGTAGATGGTTATGGAAATTCAAAATACCATTCAATAGCAAATTTTTTTTGCTCATCTTTTGAAGTATAAGCCATTGCTAATTGAGTTATTAGGTGTCTAGAAAATCTACAAAGTGTAAAGGGGGAGAGTACTCCCCCTAAAGTGTAATAAGTATCAGGAATTCCTTTGATTCCATAAAGCAAAGCAAGGAACAATTCGACACCCCGGGAAACTGTTAAAACTGTTGCACTAGTGTCTTCGTTATTTTTTATATTTTATATTGTATATTCCGATTAAGAATCTATCGAACCAATTGTTTAAAATGCGGTACTTGTGGAGTATCCGGGGTCTTTCAATACGGGGGAAAATTTCAAGATCCGGGGGGAAAATTTTAAGGTCGGGGGGTGAATTTTTTTTTTTTTTTTTTTTTTTTTTTTTTTTTTTTGCTTTTATCACTTTTGCCCTACCTTTCAGAGTTTAAAGAAGAACGAAAATATTGCTCATTGTCTGATTAATGGTCTAAAGATCAATAGATTAACGCAAATTCCGTGGTGTTTGGCTTACCATAGGCTTTGTAACGGGATTCCAAAAATGCTGTGAAATGCTCAATGCAAATCTGCTTCTAATCTTCTTGAATATATAATGAATGTTAGTTTTGATAGTTGACGCAAGGAATAATTTAACCTAATTGCAAATCGATTCACGGAAAACCTCAACATTCGCAGTCACAGGAGAGTGTAGAACGCGCAAACGCTCATATTGAGGTCTTTTTACATTTTTGTTAACAGGCTGCAATGTGTTTTTACAGTTTTCTTAATTTTAAGAGCTTTTCACGACATCTTTAGCACCTATCAAAGAAAAAAACACCACTACTGCGTGGGTCGTTCACCTGTCGATGATTCAACAAAACACCAATACGTGCGTAAAAAAATGATTTGCATCATTTCGCATTGAGCATTTTTACACAATTGATTCGATAAATTCTTAATCGGACATAACATATATAATGATCAAATGTCGTATTTGTTTTTTAAGTATCTAAGTTCAAGTGCAAATACTTTTTTTCTCCAATCCATTCACCAAATCCAGCGGATGTTTCTCCTTGTACTTGTGATATAATTGCTCAACCACGTGCGGCTCTCTGCCCACCAAATTTGTTCCCAATTGTTCGTCCGATTAAGAATGCGTTTCAAATCGGAGGTCCTTTGAATACACTCTTAATCGGACGTAAAATATATATTGAGACAATGCTAAGAATTTATAAATACTTTATTCACGGGAACTTGGGATCTATGATACAAAATTAGACCGGACTATTGACAACCGTAAATGACTGAAACCAATAAAGCATAAAAAAAATCCCACTTATACATTCCAGAATTCGCGTGTGCTAGACATCAAGAAATTAGCATATCCAGACACTCTGTTAATTTCATCAGCATCTCCCATATCGACTCCAGACGCCGTCACAGCACTTTCTTTTAATCGTAACGTATCAGTCCAAGCCTAAAAAAATACTTATATTCCGAAAATTTTCTTCATAATCATTTCGAATACAACTAACTAAAGTTAAACATACATGATAATCAGCTCCAATCAACTTTGTAATCTTCGTTAGTAGCTGGGCGACTGAAATGTCTTGCATGTGCTAAAAATGATTCAGAATAAAATAAACATAGCATTAAAAACTTGATTCAAATTTTCATCAAAATCTTTTTCATTTGGCTTGATTTGTGCAGCCATATCGATGATTTTGCCAGCCTCTCGAGCAATCACTGGATCATAAGGAACGGTACCCACATCGACACCCTCAAGCCATCGCTAAATTTAAAAATTTGTCCCATTAAATGTTCCAGCTCGACAACCTGCACAATTCGCAGCTTCGAAAGCATCATTTCCACAATTGAAGCTTGGGTGCGAAGATGACGGCTCACATTTGTTGCACTCGCATCCCCCACTGCCTTCGAAAGCCTAAACACCACAGAATCATTGAGCAAATGGTAAAGATACAACGTCATTTATATTCGTAGTTAAATTTAATCTGAGATCAAACCTTGTCACATGTTCAACACCAATACGTTCACTAGCTTCACTTTGAAGGCTCCATTCAGCTGGTCGAGCCACTCCTTTATCATCAACAACATACGCAAAAAGTGGAAGCTAAAAAATGATTTGGCTCAGTCTATGATTATTTTGTTTGATAAAAAATTACTTTATTAGCGGGCATGTTGAGAAAAGCGGCTAAATGTAAGATGACACTGTCTTTAGGCAAATTGAGCGTTTCATTTGGTGATGGCGTCGAAGCTGTGTACCAACCAACGTACTCCAAATCGGGAAACACTTCAGTATCTAAAGAACAATTTGAATAAAATCTCATAAAACTGATGTAAAACTAACATTGTTCCAAGCGCTCGTTGAATTTCTCATTTTCGAGCGAGACGCCTCCTCCCTGCTTGTTGACTTTGTGAATCTAAAACAAGAAGAATGTTATATTCCTTTTTTAGTTTTATATGCACATACTTCTGCTAGAATTTAAAAAGAATTGCAAACGCCTGTCAAATGCGGAAGGATACCTTGATGTCAAATGAGGTGACTGCCTCAAATTCGCGTCCTTTCGAGTCTTTGTGTCCAAGAAGAACTCCCCAAACAGTGTCCTCATTTTTCTCCAATCGAAGTTTTGACCAATGTTCACTAATGTTGAGGGCAACTAATGGATGAACCTTCACAATCGCCGAACAGCTCGCCTCGTTGTTGCCCAACATATCTAAACAAGGAAAAATTGATGTCACATTTAAAAGTAGTTAAATAGCGAAGTGTCAGGGAGGAGTGGGACAAATGCGACTTTTTCTTGCGCACCCGGCCCATTAGTGCACCTTATTTCGCGTTTTAAGAAAGCTCTATAAAGCTAATATTAACTAATTTCTATTCCAAAAATTGTTTTTCTGGGTAATTTTAGGGCGTAGAATCTAAATTTTGACATATCAGAGCTTGTGGAAGCAAACAGACGGAGTTATACATAAGGAAAAAGCGACAATTTTCTGTAATTTGACCCACCCGTTTTATCTTTCAAATTGGTTCCACAAGCTCTGATATGTAAGAATTTGGATTCTACGCCCAAAAATTACCCAGAAAAACAGCTCTTGAAAGAGAAATTGGTTAATATTAGCTTTTTATAGCTTTTTAAAACGCGAAAAAAGATGCGCTAATGGGCCGGATGCGCTAAAAAAAGTCGCATTTGTCCCACTTTCAAGTGCCAAAACATTAATGAAAAAAAATCTGCGCCTCTTTGTTTTTTTTACATTCTTCTTTTTGCCATTTTCATGATGTTTTTCTCAAAGCTTACGGTAGAAAAGTTGCGGTACCACTGAATAAAGTACACAGAAAAAAATTTAGAAAGTAAAGCTTCTTGTGCTACTTATGTAGTAAAGCACAAAGGCGGTTTATTTGAAAGTGAAATGCCTGTTTTACGTTTTTAAAACTAGAGTTAATGTTGTTGATACAAATCTTTTTTGAGGAGCAATTTCTCTGGCCTAAAACCAGAGAAATTGTCTTTGAGGAAAAAAAGAAAGTTAAGCCTAAGCCCAGGGTATCGACTATTGGGCACTTTTCAAGGTCAAAACTAGAGCCAAAATCATTTTTTAACCACTAAATATTTATTTTCTAACAAAAAAAAGTGCCCCCTCCCCCCGCCAACTAGGATAGTACCGGGATCGATACTAAAATGAGTTCGATTGGCTAGCAAATTTTACGAGTATTCTCAAGCGCTGAACGACCGGAGTTAATCAACTCCAAGTATTGTTTATTTGGTGAAGATTGTTTTCTATCGACTTTCAAAAGAATATACACGAATAAAAACATTTATTCTGCTGCTGTAAAACTCGTAAGATCGTCTTTTTCATTCTCTTGCGTGATGGATTTTGTCGTTTGCGTAACCTCGTGCACATCTCCCGGCATATCTCTAAAACAAAATACGTGAATGTCGGATTAGATAAACCCACTTTCCCTTGGTGTCGGAAAGAAGGGAGCAAAGTATTGAACAAAGAACACACGCAATGCCCACAACAACGTATTTGAGGGGAGCCCAGGGAAAATGCTAGATCAGAATTTAATCGATTATAAAAGAAAAACAGTACCACATGTCGGAAGAATGGAGCAATAAATTGGCCGATACAATGCGGAAAGTTGATGATGGCAAAACCGAGCACTCTAAGATTTACAGGATCAATTTCGATTGAGTGTAGAACCTGACAGTTGTTGGCAGCATTTCTGGAAACCATACGGGGATCACCGTTTGCGCAATCGTATTGAAAAACTTTGCTAGCAAAATCAATGCCACTTTTAGCGCATTGACGCCAAACCATTCTAAAATCCAAGGTGTAGAAAGTAAGAAACAAACAATAACTAGGTATACCTGCTGGGAAAGGAGCTGCAGCTAGGGCTAATCCACAAAATATTCCACTAAAAATCGTCACCCATTTACGACCAAAGAAATGCAACAATGGAATGCACATCGCAGCCCCTAAATTATAAATTATTGAACATTCAGAATTTAAAGTTTCACCTGGCAAATCGGTCACTCCATTCAACATGTAGGCAGTGAAATGATCCTCACTTAGATCGATAGCCTCAAGAGAAATAGCAAAATAAGTGAAGTTCATCATGCAACTGAAATGCACAAGTCGGTCAGAAAATAAAAAAATAAAATAAACCTCATGAGTCCGCCAATCAAGATGATCTTCCACATCTGGCAGCTCTTTAGCATTAGGAGAATGGCTTTCAGACTGTTGACTTTGGGACGATGCTCATTCTAAAAGAAAATATTCTTCAATCACCTTGATCACTTCAATTACCGGATCGTCACGTAAACATGCAGTCAAATTTAGTCTTTTACAATTCCATCGATTTGACGCCGCAATATACGAAGCAATTCGACTCCGCTTGTGATGTCGGATAGCCCAGTGAGGTGATTCGGGTAATGTGCTTAAACAAAAAGTTCTAACTCATAAAATAAATTCTTACAATATCATAAAGAAGCACAAAATTGACGGCAATGTCATATACAAGTACAACAATCTCCAATTATATACAGCCTAAAAAGGATAAACATAAGGTCAGCATTAAAAGACACTTGTGCAAGTCCTCCGACATAAAGAATCCCTATCGCCCAAAAAGTTGTTCCAATTAAGCCTAAAACAAATCGTTTATTTCAAACAAGCAACAATATCTAACCTGCAAATGAGCGCTGACTTTCCGTGGTCAATTCACAAACATAGTTGGCGCCAATTGTGTAATATGACTAAAGAAATATAAATATGGTATTGCAAAGCTCTGTGCCCACATCACTTAACGCTCCAACTACAAATCGCAACACGACGAAGAACCAAAATCCCGGAGCCGCGGCACACGCAAAATTTCCAATAATGCTAAAAAGCAATTAATAGAATTTTTGGTTTTTTAGATTGTCAAAATGTAGGAACTTAAAGTTGATTTCCTAAAAAAGACATAACTTCCAAAGACTGTTATTAAAAAGACGAGCTTCCTTCCGTAAAGATCTGCCAAATAGGAGAAAATCGGTAGAAAGATGATCGCTCCTGAAATCAAGTAAACAACGTTTGGCTTTCCCAAAAATGAAGCCTAACACATGTTTTAAAACCCCAACCTAATGTAAAAGCACTTTGTCCTGACTCTCGAACGAATTCTCCAGCACAAGGCTTCCCAAAATCGTACATTATCGAAGAAATCGGTTCCGGGCTGCTAAAAACACAAACATCTTTGACAATTCGGAATGGTTCACATTTGCTGCAATATTATTGAACCGTTGGTGTCGCCACAGAATTCTTTTCCATTTTTCGTTTCATAGCTACAACCGGTTAAATTAATGCGTGTGCTGTTCTAAAATAAATCAAGTTGCAGAATCACTTTATCCACCAACCGGTAGTTGACACATTGTTTTGGCACTTCCGGTGATAAATGGTAAAAGATGGATGTTAGCCGCGTAGAACAGCATAATAAAATTGCATTGAACAGCCGTCCACCACTGATATCTAAAATGAAAAAACCTCAACTTTAACTTAATCAAGTAAATGTTCACCGTCCCCAGAAACCATAACCCTCGACGATTTTGTTTGGATCGCAGATGAGAGGATCGACAAGTGGAGTTGGATAGTCGCGTTTACTAAAACTAAAGCTTACTAAAGAAATCGATCAAGAATAAGTTGATCCCAGCATTACCTTCTTTCCAATTGAGTTGAATCCATCGCGATACCCTCCAAAGTCTCCACATCATCAGCATTATTCAACCAAAAGTAAAAAAAAATAATTTGTACAATGTAAAATACTTTGAAAAAGGTTCAGTTTTGAAATATTTTACTAATAAAATAGAAAACAACACCTATTGTTTTCTATTTTACAAAAAAAAGGAAATCTTTTACTTGACAAAGTTTAATTTACTACCCTAAAAATGTTATATTCGTGATCAGCGTCATCAATTACTCCGGGAAAAGTGGTTTTGGCGAAAAAAAAGTGCCCCCAAAAGCCACTAGTTTATTATGACACTAATTTATTATGACAGATAATAAAGCAGCCCCAAAACTCTTAAAAACCCCACCTGTATTTGCTTAGCATCACTATAACTATCGTCATCGCTAGAAGTTTCCACTTTCATAATGTAACTCGTTTTCTCTGTAGTAAGAAAAGGATAATAACAAAATTAAATGAACAACTTACCCTAGTCAAAAATAATCAATAGGCAGAATCGAATACAGCGCAACAGATAGAAAATAAAATGAGGGATTCCTTTTCGTTTCGGCGCTTTGTTCTTCACATGTAAATTTTTGGGTACTAGTGGCTTTTGGGAGCACTTTTTTTCGCCAAAACCACTTTTCCCGGAGTAATTGATGACGCTGATCACGAATATAACATTTTTAGGATAGATTTTTAATCAAAAACGCAATTTAAGTGGCAAAACTGGAAGTTGGCTGACTGGTCGGCGTTAGCCATTCGTTATGATGAATTCGATGTTAGTGTTGCCGACATCAATGAAGCCGAACTTTTGGAGGCAAGGAGGATATTTTATTCATGCTTTTAATTTTCTTATTTTAGATTGGTCTTGCCAACGAAATTGAGAGTTTAACCGCCGAAACTTTCTCTTCTCCATCGTTTCCAGTCAACGGTGCTATGGTCAAAACACTCGCTACATGATTCTACTAGTTTGTCAGCTAGCTGGAAAGCTGAATTCAAAAGCCGTCAACATTTGGTTCTTGTGCGATACTGGTTGTTCATTTACTTGTCTCACTGTCAAATCATTGGAAGGAATCGTCGGTGAAGGAAATGCAACGCGTAATGTCCTATAGTCTGCACGACTTCTGCACGATCCAGGTTTCTTTATTCTTTCTTTAAAACACAATGAATAATTTCCACTCTCAATTCCTTTGTTCACTTTTTTCTTCACATTTGTGGAAATGATCTGAAATTGTTTCGTTTATTCTTGAGTAAATAAAAAAAGCGATTCTTGAGACTTATTAGGCTATCCAGAAAGTCTTTTTGTTCCTTTTCGTATTTTCGTTTAAAACCAACAAATGTACCAATTGAATTAGGGTTTTTTTCATTAGAAAGGTTCATTTAATATTATTTTTCTGCAAAAATAATATTAAAACGGGTTTAAAATGTCTTATGTCTGGATTTTTTTTGGGAGCGTAAAGTCGGGTAGTTAAAAAGGACGACGGCTCAATGATGTAGTTTAGACATTTTTACTAAGGAAACTTATCTTCGTGTCAATAGATAAAAGATAGAGCATAAAAAGTTTGGTATATAGCTAAATTTTCAGAGAAATTCATTCAGCCAATTTCTTCGTAGAGGTTTTTATAGATTTTTACGAAAAACACGTTTTCACTCTCGAATTTGCTTGAAAGTGAAGCTAAATTGACTTAAAAATATGGGAAATTGAATCATAAACACTTTTTATTTGAAGCAAAACTTAGGTAAAAGGGTGAATTTTGATTTGAAATTTGATTTTTAGTACGAGTACGAAAAAGAGCGAAAAGACTTGTTTGCCAAACTGGTATCTTGGTTTTTGCTTCTTCTTATCAGCTCCTTTTTAAGATTTTTAACTTTTTAGATTGGAAATGACGCAGTGGTTAGAAGCAGTGGGCGTGGGATGGGGGAGTCGATCCAAAAGCCCGTTTTGCTTGCCAAAAGATGTGAATAGCGCGCGGTGTGTATTGACTGATTTATTCGTAATAAATAGGAATATATGAAAAACATTCATTTTCCTATTGATTTTCATTTTCTTGTCCTGAATCATCAAATTCATGCCCACTGCTTCCAATAAGTAGAGCAATTTGGATGTCGATAGTCGAACAGAGAGTGTCTGAGGCAGAAAGGGTCACCTAAGAGTTCAAGTTTTGAAGTTTTCATTTTTGTAAATTGAAATTTTAAGTATTTACTGAAATTTTTTGACATTTTTGAAAACCAGCCTTCAATTTGTACATCAATTGAATAATCGCACAGTGAAAAGTTGACGGAATCCATGGGATCTTGAAGGCGAATTTCAGTTTTTCAGTCACTTTTGGTTTCACTTGAATGTCCTGAAGCAAGATTTTTAAAGAAAATACATATTTATACGAACCAGTGTATTTGAAAAGACAGCTTTTTCAATTTGTGACTGTTCTTCACTTCTTCTCGTTTGAATGAATGGCTGATCCATCGGGAAGCTCGTCATTTCACTGTATGAAGGGAAAGCCACCAGATCGAAGTGTTGGTTTAGGTCGATTTTCATCTAAAATTGAGGTGCTTAGTCGAAAATTTCTATTTAATATTTCCAAACCAGATCAAAAGTTGAATTGCTGGCATTGTCGATGAGGAGCTCTCCCTCGAGAATACTGCCGATCATCCAGCCTCGTTGTGGGAGGGTCAACTAATAAACAAACCTTTGAAACAAGAGAATCTTATAAACTTTTATAAGTTTTAGATTAAGCTTCTTTAAGCTTTTTGTTTTTCAGCTTTTTTAAAGTTTTTCAAAGGTTTTTTTGATTTTTAACAAATTGATAACCCGGCCTAACCACTTGAGCTACAGCTAACAAATTGATAACCCGGCCTAACCACTAGAGCTACAGCTAACAAATTGATAACCCGGCCTAACCACTAGAGCTACAGCTAACAAATTGATAACCCGGCCTAACCACTAGAGCTACGAGCTGGCTTTTGGGATGGCGAAAGCAAAACCTTTCCGCCGGCAAAAATCAGTGTGTCAGAAATTCGAGAAAAGCCTTCATTTTTTTTTGAAATTCAAATGGCTGTAACTTTGTGCGTTTTACCGATTAGCGGTTTTTGAAAACAGTTTCTGAACGTACATTTTCAGGCCTTTCTTTTTGCACCTACCTCATATTGTAACTCGCGGGTAACTTGGGAAGGTTCCCTGGTAAGCCTGAAAAACAAGCCCGACTAGCCCTCTTATACAGGTAAATTCAATCAAAAACATAGGTTTACTGTTAATCACTTTGATTACAGTAGTTTCCAAAATGACAGATAAAACCTGTAATGGAACTTCGGTGGATCCACAAAGACAAAATCCAACATCCCCCACGATGCTCTCTGCCACGGGGGGTGAATAATCGATCGGAAAACTCTGGGAACTTGTCCAATTGGAGAGGTTTGCGAACGAGGATGATCTAAATTCAATTTAAGTAGATAATAAACAGAAGAAACTACCTTTTCAAACTTGTCATCAAAAAATCCACCCAAATCGATGGTGATCTTGATTCGATAATGGATTTCCATTGTCGAATCGTATCTACCATAACTCTCAGCTTCAACCGAAGGCAGACTGTTTATTGGCAGAGTAAAACTGGAAAAGGACTTTGTTTTTCCTTAAAACTATTTGTTGAGTGATTTTAAAAAAATCACCTAAATGGGAACTGTGTTTCACTGGTCGTGATCTCAAAATCCTCGAAGACAAGGGATTGTCGTTGGATTTCGATGGGTGACCGGTATGAGGTGATCGATCTCCCATGACTCCTCTGCCACTCATTCTTCGCTTTTCCAAGAAATTCTATCATGAAACGCTTGAAGTGCAAGATTTTTGATGTCTAAAACGATATATTACTTTAAGCTTACACAGCTTGAGCTAGTCAGCTTTTGAAAAATGTCTTTTCAAAGTCTTTTTGTCTTTTTTTGGAAAATTCAAAGCTAGTTCAGTCAAGTTTGTTTTTTGATGGATAAAAAACAAGAAACGATGATAGCTTTTGAGGAGAGAAAGTACTTTATCACTTTTCAGCTAAAATTTACACTTTTAGACAATAAACTGCAATAATTTCTCGTTTTTTTTTTTATGAAATCAATTTCTACAATACTTTTTCTATATTTCTCTCCGATTACACAGATGAAAGAGAATATTTTACCGTAATCATTACCGTATTTTACCGTAATTTTACCGTAATCACAACCGTTCCCTCAACTTTTTCTTCAGGCAAAAAAATTGGAGGATTTTTTATCAGTTGAATATCGCCATTTCATTGAAAAATGTATGAAATAGTTGACGTTTTTGAAAAACTTTTAAAAGGCAATCGTTTCAAAAGTGTTTCGTTGCCAGTGTTACAGAAAAAACTAGTAACTTGCAAAGAAACACTAGCAATTATCGCTTGATTTAGAAATTCCGGTAATGGTTTTGTAAAGTTGAAGATGTGAACGAAAAAAAAAGTGTCTTTTTTTAGTTTTTGTTTCCATGTTGCTCAATTTCTACCGTAAATACTGTAGAAAAATATATTAGGTTGATGCATAAGTCTTTTCGTTCCTTTTCGTCTGCCGTTTCAAGCCAACAAATGCACGAATTAAACTACGGTTGATTTCATTAGAAAAAGCAATTATTTTTCTGCAAAATAACATTAAAACGGGTTTAAAAATATTTAATGCCTGGATTTTCTTGAGAGTATGAAGTCTTTTGGGTACCCGTCAAAAAGGGCTAACTCGATGATGCGGTTTAGACACCTTAGCTAAAGAAAACCTATCTTCGTGTCAATAGATAAAAGATAGAGAAAAAAAACGTTTGATATTTCGCCAAAATTTCAGAGAAATTCATTCAGCCAATTTTTCCGTAGAGTTTTTTATAGATTTTTACGAAAAAGGCGTTTTTCACTCTCGAATTTGCTTCAAAGTGAACCGAAATTCATTTAAAAAGATGCAAATTGAACAAAAAAACACTTTTTTTATAGAGCAAACTATAGATTAATTCGTGAATTTGTTACTTTTTAACAGAAGTACGAAAAAAACGAAAAGACTTATGCATCAACCTATTAAAAGAATTATATAATTGTCAACACAGAGGTGGTGAGCATTTGGATCATCAGAAGGCTATTCCCTCTCTTTAAGCTGTCTCTAGCATTGAGCTCGTAGACAAGTGGATAGTGTGCATGTACTCGGACGTTCGCCAGTTGGTTGGCTCAACGAAATATGGGGATAACCAAGCAAATCCGACTTGTTTACATTGATGTGCGTTTGTTAAAGTTGGAACTGTGACTGTTAGTGACTAAAGAGTGACTGTTAGTTTTTTTTAAGGAAATTTGTGAATTCGATTTAAATGAATAGCTTCTATCATCTCATCATCATGCGGAAGTTGTCGATTTAATGTTACGAATGCGCTTTGATTGCTTCTCAAATTTCGGTCTTTAAGATTACAAATAAAAATCTAAAAATGATCTTTTTGTTTTCCAAAAAGTGATCGTCGAGCATTTTTGACTATGCAATAAATGCAAATTTAACTTAAAGAGAGATTGGTGAGCTTTATTCAACCCGTTGTCAAGAGATCAAAAAAGATGAGTCAAAGATCAGAGCAAAAACTAGAGAAAAAGATTGCTTCAAGAAGTTGACGGTTCGTCATTCGCATAAAAAACATCGAAAACGTCGTCATCGATCTCACCCAATAGAATCCCTCGTTCTTGCAGCTCCTGGAATTGCTTTTTCTCTGGGAAACAAATCAAAATGACCCGAAAATGGCCAGAATTTAGTTTTTGTATATTTCCAATCATTTAGTTAAGTTCTTTGTGATTTTGCACTTACTTTAAACGGCCGAAAAAGTCCCTTCAACTCGCACTCGATGATGCCGGCCGCGAAAATCACCGGTACCGTTAAATACCTAAAACTCTTGAAACAAAATTTTGACAAGTTTATTATATTACTGGGTTAGGGCTTAGGTTATTTTAAAATTTAGTTATTTTTAAAATTTACTAACATATGAATGGAGAGAAGACAAAGCACAGTGTTCCATGTTTGTGGGAGACGACGACCACACAATAGTCTGGCCACTCTGCGAAGAATTCTGTAAGAATTGGAAAATAGAAGTCTGCACAGAAAAATACTGTAAATTTGGATCTTCAATCTACATTTGAAGCTCACTGCGATTTATTCTCATTTTCGAGGATTACCTTCTTTGTCGATGTGAAAGAGGTAAAGATGGGATTGAGGGAAGCATTATTTCATTTCATTTCATCGCATAGCTTTCCTTGAAAGAGAATCAATAAGAACACAAAAAGCCAGCTCGTTCAAATTAACAAATAAAAAGATTAGCGTTGGAAAGAAAGCTGGATAGAAGAAATCTGGCTGGCTGGCTGGCTAGAAGAAATCTGGCTGGCTGGCTGGCTAGAAGAAATCTCCAAAAATCAACAAGGGTTTCCCCGAGAATTTAAAAAGACAAAAAGAACAATAAGAGTAAAGAAAATGTAGAAAATGAAAAAAGGGGAAGAGTCTGTGAGTGTTCAGGTGAGTGTCATTGCTCATTCAACAAGGAAAAGAGGGTAAAAGGAGGGATTGCCGCTTGAACGAGTCGAGAAAAGAGTCATCGAAAGGAGTGATGGGCATACCACATTGTCCTCCCTAATGGCCTTCCCCCAAGCACACAACGAAGAGATTCTTCAGGTCCATTTTCACAAGTGGATGCCTCCCGCTTCATCCAACTTTCAATCCATTTCCACTTTCAGATTATTCTTCCTCTGTCCTTTCCTTTCCTTTCCTTTCCTTTCAACCCACTCATCTCTTTTTCTCTCTTTCATTCAACGACTCCAATCTGGAGATCCTTCTAAAGACCCTGAAAGTCCTTTCAAACGCTAGAATCTCAAAAAAAAGGGAGCTAAAGATGATCTAGGTGTCTAAAAATAGAGCAAACTCAAGAATAGTTGAGTATAGAGGACTAGAGCAGAGCACAGAACAATTCATCTATCAAAATTTCTTGAATTCAGATCAGATAGATGATCTGAATGATCACAAGTGATTTGAGAAATTATCAAAACAGATCGATCATCAAATATCAAAAAGAATCAAAGAGTGAGCTGGGTGGTTGACAGTTTTGTTGACAGACAAGAGAGTTTTAAGCTTGACAAGAGTACAAGGACGGATAAAAATTTATATGTTTTGAGATAAGCATAAAGGTAAAGCTCAAAAATGCACGAAATCTAGGGAATGCATACATCGACGGGTTGACGAGGCAGAGGAAGGAGAGGGAGAAGGAGAAGGCAAGGCTTTCATCTCCGAGAGTGAGTTCTGAATAGACCCAACCCTCCACCGATGAAAAGCCCACACAAATGGGCCGATCTCAATCGAATTCCCCACTCTTTCTCTTCACTTCCTTTCCCGTTTTTGCGGCTGTTTGTTTTTGGGTGAATGAGCTCATTTGGATGCTTGGTCATTTCAAGAGAAATTGCTTTCATCGAGGAAAAAAAAAAGAACTTTATGAGAACCACCAATAGGAATTTGAGTCTTTCGTTGTGCTTGGATGGAGTCGAGGTTTGTGAGACTAAAAGAAATATTTGAAAAAACTCAAGTCAAACCGGTCGACGAGATTTTGGTGAAGTCGGTACATCATCATAGCCTTTTGGTGGAGGCTGAAAGCTCCTTGAGTTCTTGTTCAACTTCAGTCAATCAATTACCTGTAGAACTGGTGAATCGTATCCCGAATTGGTAATCGAAGGCTGAAAGAGATTCTTTTTGAATCACAATCAAAGCCGGCTATACTTGTTCCACTTGTTCATCGGGCTTTGTTTCATAGCCAGTTGGTTGAGCACTAGGCATTTGTTGACAATGTCCACAACTTCCCGGCATGCCTTGATCTCCCTAAAATCGTTTATTTACCGCCTAATTTTTCCAATAAACTTTTGGCCCTTGCGGTCCTTGGAGGCCAGTAGTACCAGGGTCTCCTCTTAATCCAACAGTTCCTCGAATCCCCTGTATTCCATCAATGCCCGGTGTTGCATCATGTCCCCTTCCACCCGGCCGTCCTCTTCTTCCCATTTTCCCTGGCGGTCCAGGTGGTCCAGGAGGTGCTCCATTCAGAACTTTTCCTCGATCTCCCCGTGCTCCTTTTGGCCCGGGTGGACCGGGCTCTCCTCGAAGTCCGGGTGGTCCTAAAGTTTATCTTTTATGTTTTTGACTAGTGGATTATGTTAGTTTACCTGGTGGCCCTGGTCGATTCGATTCTCCGGGTTTCCCTTCCTTTCCAGCTTTCCCGTAGGCTCCTCTTTTTCCTTAAAAAAAATATCCAAATCTAAAAAAAAACTCAAAAACCTTTCATTCCAGGACTTCCAGGTGCTCCGGGTGCGCCAGGTGTACACTAGAAATCTCAAAATAATAAAAATGAAATGCAACCGGTTAAAACTTTTTGGCAAGCATTGAAACCAGGCGGGGGCGCAGGGAGATATTTCCCGTTTCTCCCTTTTGTTCCCGGATCACCCGGTGGGCCGTCTTCTCCTCAAAAAAATATGATTTGTTAAGACTTCGTTTCATGCAAAAAAAACCATCATTTCCATTTTCACCGGATGGTCCACGAGGTCCAGCATCTCCTTGAGTGCAACTACAACAAGAAGACGAGCCACGAGCTGAGTCTAATATTGATGGATTACTCACTTTTACTAATAAACGCATTTTCATATCAAGATGGGTATCTCAAAATTGATCAAACTTTGTTCTGGACCATATTGTCTTTTTATTCTCCTTGCCGGTACAAGTGTTACTTGTTTCCAGATATCTCGAGATTCAATCTAAATTCGACCCTTTTCAATGATTTAAAGAAGCCGACGGTGATTTTTTTTTATTTTTCTAATACCTTGCACAGTTCAACTTCGGTTAGCATTAATGTAGTTTGCTTTTGAACTTGTAGATGTGAAAATGACAGTAAAAATATCATAGCAATGAAAGAAATTGTCGAAAGTGCTGTTGAAAGAAATACCCATAATCGCCCATCAGATAGAAAATTTTGACCCATATTTGAAAGTCTAGAAACTTGGGCTTTCAGAATGAATGAAACAAAAATGAAATTGCTGATTGCTAATCAGGTCTTGAGCGTTTTTTAACTCGATATGTAGACAATTTAGGTCATTTTTTGTCTTTCCTGTCCGAAACAGGCGGGGCTTTCCCGCATAAAAAGCGTCTCAAAGGGGTCAGTGAAATCTGGCTAAAGTTTATCAAGTCATAATCACAATTTGCCGATACGAAAAAACAAAAATCAAATAAACAATACAGCGAATAAGACTAGAAATAGTTATGTCAACATCTCTACCCGAAATATTTGACAAGTGCTACAATGCTCAAACAATGCTCAAAACTACACGGCTGTTAACATCGCTGAAATCTTCTGCTTCACAATTTGCGCAATCCCGTCATGATCCATTTTGTGGCTTATACCACGTGCAATGTAAATCGCTAAATAGTGCAAAAATAAGTGAATAAAAATGGAAAATGTACCTCGTTTGGGGTTTCGTAATATGTTCAGCTCGAGTAAGAAGTATTTTCCCCTGGTTGAAGAAATATCGGCATACCATTTATCAATATCTTCCCTAAATATTGATATACATCTATTTTACACCAAAAACTAACATCATTAATTTATGTTTTACATCAGCGTCGTTGTCGAAAAGTTGTCTTCCCGCATCATCACCAAATCGACATTGAAGAATGGTCATCGATGAATCATTAATCTCTACCTAAATAATGATGAAGATAATAAGTCGATGATGCAGATAATCAGAAGTATACTTCAAAAGAATAACGATATTTCCCCTTTTCGCTTTTACATCTAGGGCATCTAAAACAAGCGTAATTACGTAACAGCGTTAAAAAACCCAACCTGTTATCTACATTCATTTCGCATTCACAACTCTCGCATACTTGACAAAACATAGCGAAAGGTTCGGTAAGGAACTTCATGATTTGAATCTATACTTTTTAGCTTATCTCAAAAAGTAACAAGAAATTATACCTTGACAATGGCTTTCCTTGCACAATTGTTCTTCGACAGCTCATGAATTAAAAAGAAGTTCTCGGACGTCAAAGACAAAAGTGCCTCGTCGATGCTAAGCGGTTCCGTCAAATTTCCGTCTAAAGAACATCTTTTCTTTAAATTCCTTTTTGATGTTATGTTTGTGTAAACAATTTAAAAGCATAGCGACCTAGACTAGAAACATACTAATTTTTGTGCTTCCGGGTAGCTTCGATGGTTCAAAAGATGAAACAAAGTTGCTTTCACTTAGAGACTTTTTTATTGCAGGTGAGGAATCTAAAAACGCAAATAAAAAATTAAACTACTTAAATAGACTAACCAGTTTTCATCACCAATGGGCTTCTGAAAGTGCTCGCCGAATATCTTCCCCGCTTGGCAGATAAAGGATTCGGAGATGGAAATGAGCGGAAAACTCTATAAAAAGACAATAAGAGTAACTACTGCTATTAACATACGGAGAATTAAATCCGGATCTTGTAGAACTAAATGATGCATAGCTTTTTACTTGATGCTGTGGAGATTCAAATCTGAATTTTTAAAAAACTTTGAAAAGGAGATGTTTATAACCTATTGTCATCGCCAGCCGTTGGGTCGCAGTTCTCTCCCTCCAACGTAGTGAATAAAAGCCTTTTTGACTCTTCAAGGAGCTTTGGGTTTATCGAGACTAAAAAAATTATAAAGCTAAACAAAAAATAGCAAACTTTTATCTCCATTTGCGCAAACAAATCCTTGGAATTGTTCGCTAGGAGTCGCTTGTTTCGATATGGTTGAATCATTCGATATCTTCTTTTCTAAACTGAAATGCCAAGACAAAATTTTTTAGTCCAACCAGTCATCGCCAAATTATTGGAAGTCTCAGGGTGTTCCTTTAGTGGCGAGTCGTCGAATGAGTCGTATTCTACAAATACGATTAACACTTTTGATAAAAACAATTAAAATTACCTTCATGTTTTTTCAAAGTTTTCACAATCAATTCTGGCTGTTTATTTGGTGGTGAAGCTTGCCTATCTAAAGAATAAAGTTAAGGGCTTTCTTCTTTCTCCTTGCCTCTAGATCCTTTTTCTTCTGCGATCGGCTCTTCTAATATCGTTGACTCTTCTGCTGGTCGTTCCAAAGATGGTGTTGCTTGGCCATCGTTAAATGAGTCAACGTCCGTTGATAGCGGCTCTATCAAATTACAAATCACCTATGCGAAATGATTACAACCATACCATTTAACTTTATATTCGCAGAAACGTTGGAAATAACCAGTTTTTTTGACGAGTCACCAGCAGCAGATCCGTAGGGCGGCGAGGCTTCAAGAACATCAATACCTAAACCGATTGGTCACAAAATTACAATAATTTTATACCATGTTGCTCTGGAATGCTATCCGGGATTGAATCAAAGGAATCGTTTGCCTCATTGTGAATCTCCGTTTCCACTTTTTCATCGTTCTTGCTCGCAAGTGACTCGATATTTCTAAGAGAACGTTAGTGTCTGTAAATTTACTCTTACCTTTTATTTTCGCTATCATCAAAGGAATCATACGAATCTTCAACTATTTCTTCTCCGTCCACAAACGATAACGATACATCAAAGGAGTCCTTCAGTGGTGATGAGCCTTTCGGCGCTTCTTCTCCGGCATTTGTATTTCTGTCGTGTAGATCGGTCATAGAACTAAAAAAATCAAGTATTGCAAGAACGTTGTAAACCCCAACTACAAAAGAAATAAAAAAAACAATGAAAGAAGACATCGCAAGACATTAAAATAAATACACAATTTCAAATTTTTAGTCTGAAGACTGAATATCTTTAAATGCAAAAGCTGTTTTATTTATCAGCTCTACTCACCAACAAACCCTGTTTTATACTAACGATATGCCCCTCGTTAGTATTAATTTAACGATCCTGTGTTCACCGTACAAGTTAAGCTTCTGCGTAGTCTTTTTTGACAGAATTCTCAAATTTATTTCGAATTCAGTTGACAGCTCCAACATTTTACTAGTAGGCAGTGAAATTTTGAATCAAATACGATGGTGCCAAAAATCTGTCAGACTAAATCATGCATTTTCTACCGCTCTCTCGCTTTTCGTCTGGCTCTTCGACCATTAAACCCTCCAAACTTCTCGTGAGAGGGTAACAAATTCCGAAACAGATGACTTTTAATTTATTTAAATTATCACAATTTCCTTTAAATTTCAAGTTTTAAATGTGTTTTTAATTTTTTAATTTAGGGTATAATGGATCCCGAGGCATCTTCTAACAACAAAATCTCTTTTGGAGTAAAAAAGAAAGTGGAAACAAAGGTAATATTTTGAAAAACTTCCTAAGGGTGTTTTTATTACCTAGATATATTTTCAAATTTAGATCGAAACGAGTAGCAGCGTAATACAGCAAGAATTCGACCACAGCGATGAAGAGACGGAAAATGTTGCGAAGAAGCGGAAATTCACTCATTTGGAGAACGGGATCATAACGTATGTTTAGTTTTATGATATTTATTAGTGATAGATGATAAATAGATTGGTTCAAATAAACTGTGCTGCTTATTATATTGTTTCAGACTAGACGATGAAGACATGCCTTCCAAGAAGTCAAAAAATAATTTTGTGATACCGCTGGTTCAGGAAATGGATTGGAGAGTAGCTCGACTGAAGGTTAGTTTCAAATGTTTTTTTGATAAATTAAATTTATAGGAAATGGAAAAGAATGGAACGATCTCTGAAGAAGACAGGGCTCGACTGGCACTGTTAACGGAAGGAGAAATGACTTCTACTGTTGTCAGCACATCCACGACCACAACGGAGGAGATTTCGCTTGTCGTTGAAGGAACTTCAACCTCGATTGAAGATGCTGACTACAATGCGGTATAAAACTTTAATATTTGAAGACTGTGAATACTGGTGTTCTAAGATTCCGATTGAATCGTTTGGGCTCGCCATTCTTCGCGGATGTGGCTGGAAGGATGGAGAGGGCATTGGCAAAAATCCTCAGGTTGCTTCTAATAACCTTTTGTTTCCTACTCTTTTAATGTATAAGAAATTATTTTTCTAAAGTTCTAGCTTTAGGTTGTTCGAATGAGAATTACTCAACAGCGACCAAAAGGTGTGTTATTATTTACTAGCAAAGATGTGAAAGTTTATTATTAGGACTTGGCCTTGGTGCCAAACCACCGAAGATCGATAAAGTTGTGAAGACAAAGGAAGAAGAAGAAGAGCTTAGCGGAGAACTGAAACAGGTGCTTTTAATAAAATAATCTATTTATCCAGTTTCGTTCAGGGATCGTTGGTAAAAATTGTGTTGGGCAAATACACGGGCAAATATGGAACAGTTTAGTTGCATATCTTTACAAAGCTATGTAAAAATCTAGGTGGAAGGTCGAGATGATGACAATAGCTCTTGTTACGTGCGATTAAGCATTGGACGTGATATTGTACGCGTTTCGCTTTTTGGTGTGACAAAAGTCACGAAGAAGGAATATAGTGCAAACGCCCATGTGTTGAGTGAGTGTCATTTTTCCAAGTTTGAATTCTGTGAAAAACGCAACCTATCTATGTTCTAAAACGGATACATTCAGATCGAGAAAATTATGAAATCGAGGCCAAGCGACTAGAGCGAGAAAGAGAAGCACAAAAAGCAAAAAATGGTGATAAAAAACGGGAAGATCGAACAACAAAGGACTGCGATTACAAAGATAAAACGTATAGATCGTTTGACGACGATAAATCGGTAAGATTCGCAAACTTGATATGTTCATTTAAAAATTAGATTGACAAGAAGGAAGTTTGGGCACGACCAGATCTTGTAGTGAGATTCATTAACGATGATTATAAGAAAGGAAGGTTAGTTTGTTTGCTCCAATATAATTTCTGATCATTCTTTTAGATATATGGAGCAGAAGATGGTAATTGTTGATGTTGCCGACATGAAGAACCTGACACTCGAAGACAATGAAAAGAAGCACCACTATCGTGAGTACTTGCAATAGAATATGATTGGAAAGGGGTTTATTCAGAAATAAAACAATCGTGGATCGAAACAGTGGTACCGAGGGACATTGGAGAAAAAGTGATGATTGTGCGAGGCAAAAACAAAGGAGAAATCGCAGTAGTGGAAGAAAGGGACAAAAAACGCGAGATGTTGGCATTAAGATTACTCTCCACTGATGAGGTTTGTTTTCATTTGCTTTGCATAATATACCAAAGAATTTGTGCATACCTAGGAAAATCGAGGTCTTCTAATCTAAAAATTACAGTTCCTTTTATAATAGAAGAATTTTGAACAGTCTGCCACAAATTGAATTTTTTTAGATTCAGAAGGTTTCTTTTGACGATGCATGTTATTGGAGGCCATCTCTTCATTATCAAAGTGATTAAGTGGTTATTTTTTGTTAGGATTTTTACCTTTTTGTTCTTATTTTTGATAGTCTGTGATCTCAGATGTATTACCTATGCGGTGCAGAAAACATAAATATATTAATCGCTGACAGCAAAAAATATTTGTCTTGAACAAAAACCCCTGAACCTGAAAAAAAATGGTTTGATGGGTTGACTGGATTATGCGAAATTCTGTATTCACAAATAAGGTTAAATCAGGGGATTTCGTTTACAATATTTTCCGATGCGTTCACTATTGCTGGTGAAACTGCGGATAGTGATGACGGGATGAGTGAATTTCTGCCTCTTGACCATTCGCCAACTTCTTGTGTTTAAACGGCCAAAGGACGTCAATAGAAGTGTAACTAAAATTTAAACCCCTCTAGAAGGCTCTACATACGCAGGCACCTAAATAGAACCCATTGATAGCTAATAGTAAGCAGCTAGTGACAGATTCTGTCAACTAAAAAACATGGGTCATTCAACTGCGAGCAAACCTGAGTTAGGTAAAAATGTTTTTAGAAAAACAGTCCGCTTCGAAGCTCGAGTTTTTTTGAGAAACCCGACGAAAGCGCCAATTGATCTAGGTAGTTGAAACATAAAAACTGTATAACTTTTATGTGATAATTCTTGTCTTCTGTATTGAAATCGCCTTTGTACGTTATATAGCGTCAAAGCTGGTTTTTCATAAATAAATAATTTTTCATAAATTTCACCCCCCCACACCAATCAGACAACTTGCAGATTCTGAGAAGCCAATGTTAAGTACAAGTTTGTCATTTCGTTGTTTCAGGGTAATTCTACAATAATAGGCGGAGGCGGATACAATGATTATCAAGTTATCTTTTTGATTCAAATTCTACACAACACAGGACGATGGTTATATCCAGAACGTAAACAACGTACTATAAAGTAGACTTCGGAAAACAAAACTTAACCAAAACCAAAACCACCAAAACCAAAACAGACCAAAACCAAAACCAAAACAAACCAAAACCAAAACTAACCAAAACTCGCCAATACCTCGCGATTGGGAGGAGCTAGCGAAAATCTGTTTGCAGATTTGAAATCAGCGTCCAAAAATCTATCCCATAGGCTATTTTTTGTTTCGAAATTTCGAGGTCGTGTTTTGGTCCTTTTTTCGACCGCGAGATTTTGGGGGAGTGAGAAAAGTGAAAGGCAAATTTGCATTCTACAATTTTAAATTTACATGTTAATTTATATGCAAATTGAGTTTTGGTCTGTTTTGGTTTCGGTTTTGTTTGCCGAACTCTAATATAAAGCCTCTATTCGTGTTCGATTCTTCAACGAACCAGAACTTCAAGCGACATAACTCAGCAGATTATATCTTTGCAATTACGTTGAGAACTATTTTCAAACTCCTGAGTGTTCGAATCTTTTACTTTGAACACAAAATCGGGATCGGGTAGTGGCTGTTCGGAGTGGAGACGATAGTGATAAATCGTCTCTTTTTGATTACAACCATAACAACTTTTATTATTTAGGTAACCCCGTTTGAACCGTAAATGACACATTACATAGAAGGCAATTATAATAATAATACAAATTTTGATCACAGATCAGGGACTAGATCACAGTTTCAACAATGCACGTAAAAATTTGGTTTCAGAAATGAGATTGCACAAAGTACTCAGGAATGACATAATGAAGAGACGATAAACTCGTATATCACAAGAAAAACAACTACATTTTATAGATCTCCCTCTTTTACTTCTTCCTCTTGACGCTCGCGCAGGAGTTTGTCATCAATTACCTAATAAACAAAAAATAATTCTTAACACAAATTTTTTTTTACCTGCCAAGTCCACTGTTGCTTAGAGTCACTTTCATCACAGCGCAATGTGTAAAGATTTCCCTCGCCAGTCTAAGTTTTAACATGCATTAACTTTGGAAAGCACTATAGTACCGAATCTGCAGCCAAACATTGCGCAGAAACCGGATGAAATATTTGTTTCTTTTCAACACGAAGCTTGAACAACTGGTTTCCTTTCATCGAGTGACTTAAAGTCATTATTAACTTTTTTTCAAACCAAAAGAAGTTTTACCAATCAAAAAGCACTACTGGTGCCTTGTCTCCAGATTGTGAGGCATCAAAACAAATTCGCCGTCCTTTAGGTCGAATATCATGCCATCGTGTCAATCGCAAATCCTAAAACAAGCAATCAAAGTTTACAAATAAAGTTATCAACCTGTTCACCGCCTCCGTTAGGATCTTCGCTAATACATTTCCGTAGTGGGATTCGTTGATTCTGTCCCTTAAATTGAGCATCAACGCATAAACCGGAAGCAGCATGACGAAGCTCTCCTAAGCAAAGAACATTAAAAATGACTTCAAAGTTAACAACCATGTGTTGATGGAGGAGGATCTACTGATGGGTAATATCGGTCCTGATCAAAAGCTATTTCCTTCATGAACCAATCGAATGATTTGCATTGCAAGCGCTCGCGAACAGCTTTTTGCTCGGTGAGATCCCCTGAATCAATAAATGCGTGTAGCGTACCTAGTTTATGGTTGCCTACCTGTAGCTACTTCACGCACGCCTGGCCGATTTTTGTATAGGATTTCTAAAAATTTCATACAACAAGAACATAGAACACATTGAATTCAGTAGAAACCGGATGAAATATGAAAATACCGAACCTTTGTACTCATCCATCCAAACCTAAAACCAAATAGGTTAATGCAAATTTTAAACTGAAACCTCGGCGACACGCTTGTAATTTCGCGAAATGAAATCCCCCTTGCCGACAGCACTCTTGAAAGGTTGGTATTTGCATCTAAAACATTATACGTAAAAGTAAAATAACAGCTAAGTACCTGTAAATATGCGCCACTCGTGAACATGGAGCATCAACCATTCGCCCATGACATTGCCAAACCTTGTTAACAAATAGTAAAACGAGTTTAAGTTATCAAACCTTAAAGCTTAACTCGTATTGCTCTCCTCCCCAAATATCTAAACCCATGTCATAGCCACCGAGCTCCCAGAACCACTTTCGTGAAATCGCAAAGTATCCTAAAAATAAAAAGAATTCTTTTCGTCACCAAAAACTCAAACCTCCAGCCATGACCGGACTGTTAAATGGTTTTGTCGGATTTTTTCTGTCCATTTGCGTAATAGGGAGCCGTTTGTAGTTAAAAACCCAATCAAAAGAACCTAAAACAATATGCTAAAATTTTACGGTAATAAAAACCTCGAGCTCCTTCATCTTGTGGCCGAACTTCGTATGTTTCGCAATCGATCACGTCAACAAATGGGCATACCACGGTTCTAAACCTGAATTGTATACAAAAGCTTCAAGATACAAACCTGTAGTCCTCAATGATTGGATCCAAAAGCGGGGGAAGCCAGTTATAGTTTGCTTCAGAATGGGCGTCAAGAAAGATCAGAACTTCACCAGTCGCTATTTCTGCTCCAAATTGACGAGCTCGAATTAAACCCTCTCGTTTTCTAAAAATAAAAATGAGCTAAGTGTCCTAGCAATTACTAACAAGAACTAAGCAAAACTTACTTATTACGTAGAACTTTCACGACATGGTCAAGTTTATTGCGTTGCCAAAAGTCCTCTAATGGTTTTAACAGAAAAGGTTTCTCGCTACAATCATCAACCTAAAACTTTTTAGTGAACTATTTTCGCTTTATGAATCGCTAACCAAAATGACTTCTTTGATGAGCCCTGGGGGAGATCGATTCAAAATGGTCCACACACTTCGAATCAACGTCGAATTATGCTAAAAGAAACGGTCATGTCTTTAAAACTATCATTTACCTCTTCGTGGAATGGGAAAATAACGGAGACAGTTGGAAGTTTGGAGCTGTATTCCATCTTCATGCAATTTGGATGCCGAATATCCTTGATAGCTCGATCCAGTGAAATCATATCGGACACATAAGCGTTATACCCATTTGCTTTGTAGAGTGCCAGCTAAATTGCCGAATAATAAGATTTACAGATAATAACGACAATACCGCTTCGGCTTGAGAAGCTTCATCCTTAGGCACGGATACAGGTTTGCCCTGCTCACCGGGGCCAACGCGTTTCAAATCAGATTCGTAGACGACTCGATCAAGCCAATCCTAAAAAATTTATTTTTTATACTCAAAAGTAATATACCTTCTTAGAATGTCCTTTGTATTGTTCCCAGTCATCGTTTTCTCCGCGATTCACCTTTGCGACTTCCTGATTCTTCTCGTATTTTTCGATAGCTTCTAAACGAAAATTAACACAAATTTCTTTAAAATTAGCACCTTCTCGGGCTCGCAAATCGTGAAGATTTGGCTGTAATGCTGGTTGCTGGGCCAGTATGGGGTTCTCTTCTCGGAGCTAAAATAAAAAAATAAAAAATAATTTGCTGCGAAAAGCTTACCGTATCATTTCCCCTATTTGAGAGCACACAGTAGATGAAATATAGCACCGCGAGAAAAACCAAATATTGGGCGACGCTGATGTAACGTTTGCTGAGGAAATATCTACTCCATCTCATTCTAAAATTCAATATCTCTAGAAAGTCAAAAAAAAGAAAAATTGAAATGCGTCAGAGACTGTTCTTAAAAATAATATTAAATATGAATTTGAGCTTTGACTATATTGGGAAAATCTGGTAATACAAATGAGTGCAATTAGTAGTCAAAATGATTTGCACAATTATAATAAAGTTGAGTTGTTGCTTGATTTGAGTAACAACTCTAAACGAATCTACTGGCATTGGAGGGGATAGGTAGGATCGAAAATTCTCAAAATTGTATGAAAGAAAGAAAATGAGGAACCGAAACAAAAGCTGGATCTTTTGCGTGGCAGGTGGAAAACTATCCGGTGGATAGGTGGAAAAGCGTTGGCTGCAAACTACATGCTTTCAAAAGCGCGCTAGAGTCGGCGTTTGGGCGTTTCACTTCAAAGATCTGACTTCGAAAAAATGAGGAAATTAAATATAAATTGTCAACTAAATTTGACTTTCGAGATCTCAATAAGTTCTTATCTATTTTTATCGATATCAAGGCTTATCGATATTATAGATACCGAGATCTCGATAAGTTTACCGATATTTATCGATATAAAAATGCTTGACAATAGACTTGACTATTGAGATCTCGATAAGTTCTTATCGAGACTGATTGATATTATCGATACCGAGAGCTTATCGATATCGAGATCTCGAGATAGCTTATCAATAATGGTAAAACTTTAGTTGATTCTCCGTCAAATCCTTTTAACTGAGGCTTATTTTGGGTAATTCGATGCGCTGAATACTGTCGATATCCCAGATCTAGGTTTTACGATTTTTAAAGATTTTTGAAAACTTCTCGAGATCTCGATAGTCAAGTCTATTGTCAACAAAAAAATTACTTCAATAAGAATTGATTCGGACGTTTCCTGGGTATGGTAAAAGGTTGGATTTCCTTTTTGCCGTAAGTTTTACTTATGATCTTCATCTTTAAATGGACATAGAAACACATAATAATTAATAATAATAATAGTGGCTCTCGGGTCTGTTGTGACTGTAATAACTGTATTCTCCTATCGCATAGCCTGTATCATCTTCTGTGAAAAAGTAAATTGTAATTTACGCGGCATTGTAGCGCATTCAGATTTGTGTAACTCGTTTCATTTTTGAGCATTTTATCGATTTTTATAGCATTTATTTGCCTACTTGCCAATAAATAAGAACATGTTAAAGAATGAAATGATATGTTCAGGCAATGCGGCAATAAGCTGAAGAAATAAAATGAACAACTTGAGCCCGAAAATGCAGAGATCATGTTAGTGAAAGCAAATAGACAGACATAACGACAATTGTCGAATGGGATAAAAGTTGTGTTTTTTAATGCCTATCCATATCTTTCAGCTATCCAAAGAAAGCAATTCATCATCTTCTTCATCGTCTCCATTTTGTAATGGAGCAAGTGCGTACTTGAGAGGAATGACAAAAGCCGAGATATCATCTGTACTCGCCGGTCCGCCCACATTCAAAGTCCATCTGAAGAAGTTGATATTGGCTTTTTATTTTGATTGTAAACAAGTTTACAATCAAGGCTTAGGCTTAGGCTTAGGCTTAAAGCTTAGGCTTAGGCTTAAAGCAATTTAAGCGCTTGATATTGGCTTTTTATTTTGATTGTAGACAAGTTTACAATCAAAATTTTAGCAAGCATAAGTGTTATAGTTACAGTAGTCCAATCATGGCTCTACGCTCAATTTCTTTGCTTTATAAACCTGTAGTGATCTCCCGGATTTCCACGCGCCATCGCTACGAGTTCTTGAGCAGCTTGAGTGTATCTGAAACAGACTTTGAGTCTAGTTAATGAAAGCTTTCTATAAAATAATTTCTTTCTCTAAATACCTCGATGGATCCCCTTCATCAAATGAAGAAAGTGATGATCGAACAATTCTTGCCGCATCTTCATTTGTCAATACATCCCTGTTTTTTCTCAACTTGTTTTCTAAATCATTATCTAAGCCTACCATAATCCATCCGATGCAATAATCAAAACATCCAATGAAGAAACAGAAGCAAGAGATCGAATTGACAAAACTTGTACCTAAATTTGGTAGTTTTTTTGATTTAAAGCCTATAGTCTAGTCTTTACTTCAGGCACTGGTGAGAGAAATGGTTTGATAGCCAGTTTATCATCAGCTGTCAATAAATGGTGATCTCCTAGGCCTCGACTCACTCCAATTGTATGCAATAGACGTTTCTAATAATGGGTTGAGTAAAATATCAATTATTAATTTAATACTTTTTTCAATCGATCAGATATCATTGGTGGTCGAAGGTCAACATCGCGAACAATTTTTGAAGCCCTAAAAGGGGTGATTTTTTTGAAACAAGAAGTTTTTATAACAAACAGCTAGAGTAGATACTATCTTTTTGAAACATACCTACCGTAAATACTGTAATAGTACTCCATCCCCCTCGTACAGTCGCGTAATCGCAAAAGTTTTTTAGTATTTCATTTGATACTTAAGCACACACTGTAGCATAAAAGAGTGGCGAGAAAAATGCGTTTAAAGTTAGACTACGCGACGCTCCGACCGTCATTATAGGGAAGCGTAGTCGCAAAAGTTTTTTAGTATTTCATTTTTTTCAAAGCGCCCGTCCTTTCAAAAAATTCGTCTTTGGTATCAAAAAATAGCTGAAATTCAGGGCTATTTTTTGATACCTAAACGAGCATTGTAGCATAAACCAGTGTCAAGAAACACTCGTTCAAAGCTAGACTACGCAGCACTCCGCACCGTCATTATGGGGGTGGGGTACTATTACAGTATTTACGGTACTTTTAACAAAACAGTTGTATAATAAGAAAGTCAATGTTAACTTATGATAAGAAGTCAATGTCTACTTTTAATTTGCAAAACGAATTTCAATCTCAATGTAGATTCTATCAAATTGGTTATTGACAAGTTGATATCATTTTTTAAAAATTTACCCACCATCCATCCATAAACCAATCTCTATAGAGAACTTTTCTCTTCAAATCCTTTTTCGTTAATGATCTTGAATATTCTAAACGAGAAAAAGATGATCCAATCAATTCTGGTTGTCGGTAAGCCTAAATGTTTTGATGATTTCATTTTTGAGAATTTCTCCTCACCAATGTCTGCAATCTTTTCCGTTCTGTGGCCGGTGTGTGATCGCGACTCATTTGTCGTACCTGGACCTTCTTTTATTCTTTTGTTCTTTTATTTTCTCTTTTCTTTTCACTCACTCCATCACTTGTTACTAACACAGCTCGACAATCACCCGCATTCGCTACATAAACTTTACCTAAACCAATAATGTTTCCCTTTTAATAATCTTCATTATCACCTAGAAATACTAGCACACAAAGTGTTGCACATCCACCCGGGATCTTCCATGTTTGTTTTTCTTCGGCTATTTGATCATCCTGAATGTTTAACTCTATTATTCGTTTAACTCTATTAATCCGTTTTACCATATCAACAAAAGCTGCTTCGAGTGCTCCAATTACAAGTGAATCCGATGTAATTCGAGGAAATGATGTCGATGAACTGCTCTCACTTCCTGCTGAAATTTCTTATTCGATATCATTTCCAATTTTTCACTCAACTAATACTGTAAGCGGATTCGGATTTTCGCCTTGCCAGAACGTAACTCTCTTGCCGATCAAGGTGGAGAATCATTTCGAGTACCTCACAAAGACGAGACTGGAAAAATGATTTTAGGTTTCAGATCGACATTTGTACTAAATTTTTGATCATCTAACACTTCACCTTAACATGCTCATGAAGACATTTTGCTGCCATAAGAGCCGCACCACTGCCAGCATGTCCATCATAAAGGCCAAAAAGAACAGCCTCAGCTCTGATTTGGCCATCTCCACTTGCGTCCGTCTATATTTTACGTTCAATTTTGAATAAATTCATACATTTATGCAATACATTCAAAATCGGAGGCCCGATTTTAAAAGCTTTTTAACAGAACAATGCTTTACATTAAAATCACTAAATTATTAAACAAATTATAGTTTTTGCCCAAGTTCCTTTAAAAATCAAAAAAAAAAGCATTTCTTTTGAAATGTTTTTGATAAAGTATTGTTTGAAATTTGATTAATAAATAAAAAAGGGCGTAATTTCGATAGTTTTAAGGTATTAAAGTGCTGAATAAAACTAAAATTGTGTTTGATTTGACTAGATTTGGTCGAAAAATTTAATAAATTTAACAAAATTCTTTGTGAAATGTCTTTTCTAGGTAAAAAGAGGTTTCGAAGATAAACGCTTTCAAAATAGAATTTCCGATTTGAATGGTTTCAAAATCGGACGTAAGAAACCGTAGAATACCTCTATAATGACGGGCGTACAGTCGCGTAGTCTAACTTTAAACGTCCCATGCTTTATGCTACAGTATGGGCTTGAGTGTAAATGATAGCCCTTAAAATCTAGTAATCTTTGGTATCAAAAGTGTGGTTGGAAAAAATCTGGGGACTGAGAAAAAATGATTTTCTAAAATGAAGTTAGACTACGCGACCATACGAGGCTTGGCGTTCTATTAGTGTATTTACGGTATATAAGAAATTCGACTCGATAATTTAAAACAGATTTAAAACTGACGCTTGAATCAACATCAACTCCCATAAGAGCATCCTCATCGGACGGTCTCCTTAAAGCGCCGACTCTAAATGGCTCATTTACATTTGAAATAGGAGAGTTTCGAAGATAATCGCTTTCAAAATCGGATGTCCGATTTGAATGGTTTCAAAATCGGACGTAACAAACCTCATGTTAAGTGTCATCTCTACTACTTTTTACCTATTAGGTTGGCAAGAAAGTTCGTAGAAGTTCGTAGAAAAAGTTTGCACGATGATTTCTCAAAAATCAAACCATGAATTCCTCCCAGATTTTTTTGATAAACTTGACTATATTTCAAAAAGTTTTTGACAAAAAATCAGTATAATCTTCAGGTCAAAAAATGAGATTTCTTCAGCTGAAGTGACTTGATCACTTTTTGAGTGACCAGCCTTTAGACAAGCTTTTAATGGGTTAATGGATAGGCAATGGGTCCCATTTAAAACCTAAAATGAAGTACTTAAAATAGGGAAAATTTGTGATAAAGGCAAATTTTATCTAATGCTTTAACTTTTCAGAATGAACAGTATTTTAGCAAACACACAGTGCCAAGAAGATGACACCAAAAAATTATTTTTTGAAATATAGCTTCTCTGTAAAAAATTTTTGGCCAAAAATAGAGATTATAGAGCGTATTGCTCATTTATGTTAGCTTTACCTCATAAAGAATCGTTTTTCTGTAAAAAAGTGAATTGAATTTAAGCTGGAAAATAATAATTTTTCAAAAATCTCGAAAATTTTAAGGGAAAGCTGCACTCATTTTTTTTACGAGTAATTTCTTGGAGTCGACTTGTAAATAATAGAACAAAATGTTCTTGAATTGGTGAATTCATTTTTAAGAAATTCCAGTCAAACTTTTTCCGAGAACTTTCTTTACTCTTGCATATTTACCGCCTATTGCTTGGTCCAATTTCATCGCGAGCCTCTTCTGCCTCCGTTCCTTGCTGTGAGAGATTCAGCACCTTTGCACAAGCTTGATCCTCATTTTCGAATGTTTTTCCTGGAATTTCTTTGTTAAGTCTCTTTCGAAACTTCTCTCAAACCAGCATTTATCACTTCAGCATATCCAGCCATTAACGGCATTTTCTCGGGTTGTTTTGCACAAATTACTGGCCTCACCGATTGATCGGCTGAGAGAGCTGTCTACAAGTTTTCTCTTTCAAGAAAATTCTTCTACAAACTACCTCCTCTTCGGTGAAATATAGGAATTCGGGTCGAGAATATGGATGTTTCTGTTTCTCGACAATCGCTGGAACCATTCATTTTGCTGTGAGATTTTGTCTATTTAAGCCACAAAACAACATCAATTGTGCAAGCGGCTAGAAATATTCACATATCCGACGATCACACCGTGAACCTTTCTAATACCGGGAATGAATCCTCCGATAAAATTCGCGTCGGCCACATCAACCACCATTGCCACGCGCGGTGGTTTCTCTTCATTTGGTGGTTCTTCTCCCGACACTCGAGTGATTGCCGATCTCACCACTCTCACAATCATTCCTGTGTCCATTTCTACAAAATTCACTTGATTCATTGATTCGTGTGTCCAAAATAAAAATTACACTAAAAAATTTAAAATGGAAATCGAAACACGCTATTCAATGCGCCTTTTTTTATACTCTGTTGCCAGAATTGATTAGCTGCCAATTCTAAAATGAGTCCTGACACGCTCAGGGTTACGGTAGACATTTTGACTGGAAATTCCCCCAAAAGCCGTTGAGATTTTTGTTCTAAACGTTTGTTTGAGGATTAAATTTTTTCAAAGTTTGTTACTTTTTTTGTTTTTACGTCTAGAATACCTACACGCAACAAATAGAGTTTGCTTTATTAACGAGAAAAGTCTAAACTTGTTAAAAATAGGTTTTATTGGATGCTTGCTTCTTCAAAGGTTTTTTTTAGAGAAAAGGCTTGAGTTTAAAGGTATTCTCGACAGTTTCAATGTTTGCTATGTTTTTTTGTTTTTGTTAATGCTTAATGTTTTTTCTTTTCAGGTAATGGCGCAACGACTTACGTATCGAAGGCGCCTGTCATACAACACACCATCAAATAAAACAAAAGTCAAGAAGACTCCAGGAGGAAAACTCGTCTACCACTATGTGAAGAAACGCGGAAAGTTCCCCAAGTGCGGCGACACCGGAGTCAGACTTCATGGAGTAAGTTACCTGTTTTTCTGACAGCTCTTCTTTAATATTGCGTTTTTATAATGTGAGAAGTTTGATTGCCTTTTGGAATAAGGAGTTACACTTTTACGGAGTACAAGGGTAAAGAATGGTGATATGTCTAGCTTCGCTATGCGTTTGCCACCCCCGTTATCCTTTTGTTACCCTCATCAGCTGTAAATTGTTGCAATAGAACAACGGTTTAGCCCCAATTAAATTTTTCGGAGATGCTTAAAATTAAATTAAAATGAAATTAAAAGTCGTTGATGGCGAGGTCAAACGTACGGTTAAGTTTATATCAGTTAATATGTTCTACGTTTAAAGTTTAAGTAACTAATGTTCCCGTTTTAGATTACTTCAGCCCGACCACGTGAACTTTCGCGACTTTCGCGCCGCCACAAGACCGTCACACGCGCGTATGGAGGAGTCCTCTCAGCCAATGCCCTTAAAGAACGAATCATCCGAGCTTTCCTCCTTGAAGAACAGAAGATCGTTGCCAAAGTATTGAAAGCGAAGGCAAAGTAATTATTTTTTGTTTAATTTTGTTGAGATAAATTGTTCTTATTAGAACACTAATAAATTCGCATTGATCATGTTTTTTTGATAAGTGTGTGTTATAGATTAAGACACGATATGCATTATTTATTTGGCACTGCAATGTTGAGATCAATGAAAATATCCGTTTAAGGATCACTGATAACCTGCTTGTACCGAAAATTGGTAGTAATTTAGTTGAACCAAAACAAAACCCGTTCACATGAACACGATGAGATCACTGGCAATCGCTGGAGTTTTGAAAATAATAAAAAAAAACAATTCGTAAAGAAACGCAAAAGTTTTCAATCATAATTCCTCGAGACCGGCTTCCGTAGATTCCCGAAGAGTCCGTAGAGATACGGGTTTATCACTGAATTGAAGACGATCAACTCGTGTAGAAAGTAAAGCTGAAATTTAGATTGAAACAGTTTGTATTGAGCCTTAGACAGATAATTTTCAATAATATACTAACACTGCTGTGGTAGCCAACGATTTTTGGGCTGGCAAAGCGCAAAACACCGAGAAGATTGTAGGGGAGCCAACAAATCTTGAAATATTGTTAAATAATTTCTGTAAAGTAAAAAAGTGCTCACAATATAAGCAGCGACCAATTGAAAAGAAACTCGAATCGCTCGAGATCTGAAATTGAAGTTTTCGCTTGTCAACTTTTCTCTTTTCTCTTTACCTTGTTATTCGGGCATTATATGATTGACATGATGACATGTGGGCACCGGCCTAAAAGAGCTGATAATGAAATCGTGTGAATTATTGATCACTTTTGCATATGCTTCTGTAGATGTAATCGATACTCGTTGGTGATTATCTCCATTTGTCTGCAAGCCACAATTCTCATCCGAGACAATGATCTTCGGCATAGCTGCAATTTTTTTTTTTCTATCGAATCATCGACTCTGAACCTTTCTCGTCATTCACTGCCGCGTCTTTGTTTTTTGTGAAAGTCTTCAAGGGTTTCCATTCTGGAAATCAATTTTTCGTAAATCGTAATCAAGCAAAAATCGTGCTAGGTGATAGGCCCATCTCTAACTCAAAGCTTCACAATTCACACAAGCACCAATCAATAGGTGTTTTTTTTTGGGGGGACAGTGTTTGGGAAAATGAAAAAGTGAGGTATTAGTGGTTGGGGAAGTGATCCATGGTGTGAATACCAGAAGCCCTTGTGAGAAGGGTTGTGTCGTTGGAGTCAAAGGCGGTTGGCAGCGATGGGCCGCGTACTACACGAAGGGACGAACCTGACAGCGAAATACGAGAGTTCACCCACACCCACCAGAGCACCACCATGTAGCATAGCTGAAATTGAGAAAAAAAAAGATCATTAGGAGAATTATGTGATACCAATATCGTCATTGCGGGAATCCAGAAAACGAGCCCCATGTGCAGACTCGAATAAAGAGTTTCATACGAGAGAAGCGTGTTGTACGCGAGTTTATCTGGCGTTGGTCCAAGTTCCAATCGAGCGATCTCCCAGATCTGAAATTTCAATTTTTTAAACATATTATAATTAGAGTGTGTTCCTCTCAAACAAATCATTATTTGAATAAATTTACTTAAATAATTTTTTATTTGAATAACGCGTCAAATAAACGTCAAATAAGGCGTTCTAAAAAGCGCTCTAAAATTTTGATGCGAATTGCCGGGGGTGGGATAAATGCGACCTTTTTTTTGCGCACATTTTTTTTCGCTGGAAAAGGCCTTAGGAAAGACCGTAGAGCTTTAAAAATGTTTTTATATCAGGGAATCGTATGCGTAGATTCCGAATTGCGACAAATTAGACCTTGCTGACACGTCAAATTTGGGCTAAAAAGCAACAACTACGCAACTTAACGCTTTTCCGGAGTTTTTGCCTTTTAGCCCAAATTTGCCGTGTCAGCTAGGTCTGATTTGTCGAAATTCGAAATCTACGCATACGATTCCCGTATGTTACGGAAATATTTCCGAAGCTCTACGGCCTTGCCTAAGGCCATCTAGCGAAAACAAAGTAGCATTTGTCCCACCCCGAATGGCGAACTTTTCAATTTTTCTTTTCAAAAGAACTTTCCCAAATAAGATATTCAGTTATATGACTGAATAGCTTTTGTGGCAGCTGTATATAAACTGCTTTTTCAGATTTTTTTGCCATTTTTTATTGTTAACATTTTATTTATTGGGACATTTGATACGCGCCCGCCCCTTTTGCGATTGGCAATCCAACTTTGAGCTCAAATATCTTGGTGTTGGGGCTGTTCAATTTAAATAGTTTTTGTACCAATCGATAGAGAAAAACAGCGCATCTAATGATACCAAGAACATTTAAATTGGACACACCAACACCAAGAAATTTGAGCTCAAAGTTAGACTGCCAATAGCAAAAGGAGCGGGCGCGTATCAAATGTCCGATAACCTATTATAGTATCAATGTCTTGAACAAATTTTGATTTTCCAATCATACCTGCAAGCATTGACTCCAATTGATCTCTTTGAAAGCCACATAACTTCTCCAAATGGCCAATTGTGGCAACGAAACGATGAATGCAACCGTCCACGCTATCGACATGAATGCTCGAGTTCTAAATGAATACAGTAGGCAAATCTCTTAATGTTTGTGTGAAGAGAAAGTTGTTTTTTGCTAAATCTAGAGATAACGTGGGAATTTTGGGGATATTTAGGGAAATGAATTAGTGAGAGAAAACACAGGGGGATGGCTACTTTGCGGCAATTTTTTTTTGCGCAACTTGCCATAACTTTCTTCTAAGTGAGCTAATCTTTATGATTTTAATGTTATTTTATAGATATCAATAAGTGCAAGAAAGTAATAAGAAAATCATAAAGATTAGCTGATTTAGAAGAAAGGTATGGCACAGACAAACCTCCGATGTGCTTTCGATGGAGAATTGTGTGCATGTGAGAGAACAGAAAGGAGACGATCAACCGCGATGCAAACGATCACATTTGAGGACGACTGAAAGCGATTTACATTTGTGTTTTTATCGAATGATTTCACCTGAAATGCGAAAGTGTGCATGAATTTGACGACTTTGCACAAAAGGTCACCGCCTCGCCAATCGTATGTCAACAACCAACAAGCCCTAAAAATTGGATTTTGCCGACTTTGTGTTTTCTATTTTGTGACCTGGCTAAACTGTCTCACGTCGTATTTTGGATTACTGTATTCTGTGAGTATAAAAGTCATACTTTTTAAACAAAAATTTCATTCTGCTCATTATTGTTAGCATTTTTAGTAAACTCATTGCTACCAATAAAGTCATTCTTTTTCTGAAAAGTGTACATTTGTACAGAAAAGTACAGAAAAGTACAGAAAAAAAAGTGTACAAAATGAGATTTTGTGGATTCAAAAGGAGAAAAGTTAAATGAAATGAAAGTTTTTTTGGAGTGAGAACACAATTCGACAAGAACACAAGTCGTTGATAACGACAGCGGTTTTTCATTGCTGTTTACCTGCTCGGTACATAGACAAAAATAACGAGCAGATCCGAATAATTGAGATGTCGTTTGAGGATATCCAATCGAGTGTGGATGGGACGCTCAGCTAGCTGGAAAAAGTTAGATGAGTTCATTTAGACCTTATCATTTAGCTACCGTAACCCTGTCTTGTCGCTATTTCGTCGCTAATTCGTCGTTTCTTCGATAGCGATTTTCAAAGCGAATCAATTTCTTTTCATTTTTTTCAAAGCGAATCAATTTTAAACTATCGTCTCTAACTTGTGGGACTTAAAAAAGCTTGTAAAGGAAACCTGTGTGTATGCCGCGAGATTCAGCGGTGCTCCAATAATAAACATCAGCACAAGTGTTATCATTTCGACATAATCTGAAGCGATCGGCTCGGGTGGAAGGAGTGGAGGTGGTGGAGTGATGGGGATTGGAGGAAAGGAATTCGAGGTGGAATTCATCTCTGATGATAATATTGATGGCACTGAGCTGAATTCGATCTCATTGATAATCAGCTTGTGTTATGAAAAAAAGTAATAATTGAAACTAGCTGATCATGAGTATAAATGATAATGTACATAAATGATAATGTACATAAATGATAATGTACATAAATGATAATGTACATAATACAAATCATAATGTTTTGTATAATATTCTGGTCTTTATTGTCAGTGATTTCGAAGTGAAATCCGCAAATCATTTAAAACGGCTTAATCACTACTCTCTAGGGAAAATGAATGAGCAATACTTGAATATTAGAAAAATTGGATAACGGTGTTAAAACAAATGAGACTTCAAGGACTTCGATTGCTTAGAAAAAATTCCTAAAAACATTGAAGCCATATTTTGCGAGAAAATGAGTCAACTTTTGAGAGAAAAGATATTCATTTCTGGAGTGAAAATCATGAGAGAGTCATTTAAAAAAATAAAAAATTGAAATCCCGTGAAACTTCTCGGAAATTGATCTCGGATGTGCATATTTGAGGGAATAAAAAAAGGAACGAACGAAAGAAAAGTGAGACGGAAATTTCGGGGTTTACGAAGCGGAGTAAACAAGATCGTTTTTACAAGTGAGAAAATCTAAAAATCTAAAAAATGACGCTTTTTGATGCAATTGATTAGAAATATTAAAATGACTAGAGAAACAATAAATATACCCTAGAGAAATGAACAAAATTTTCACAAAAATCGGCAGTGGGACAAATGCGACCTTTTTTGCGCACCCGGACATTTGCGCACCTTTTTTTCCGCACCTGGCCCATTAGCGCACCGTTTTTCGCGTTTTAAAAAAGCTCTAAAAGCTAATATTAACCAATTTCTATTCCAAAAGTTGTTTTTCTAGGTAATTTTAGGGTGTCGAATTCAAATTTTGACATAACAGAGCGTGTGGAACCAATTTGAAAGACAAATTTGAAAGACAAAACGATTTGAAAGACATTTTCTGTCAAATTACCGGAAATTGTTGATTTTTCTCTTTGTATAACTCCGTCCGTTCGCTTCCACAAGCTCTGATATGTCAAAATTTCGATTCTACACCCTCAAATTACCTAGAAAAACAACTTTTGGAATCGAAATTGGTTAATATTAGCTTTTAGAGCTTTTTTAAAACGCGAAAAAATGTGCGCTAATGGGCTAAGTGCGGAAAAAAAGGTGCGCAAATGTCCGGGTGCGCAAAAAAAAGGTCGCATTTGTCCCACTCTCCAAAAATCTACTTTATTTCTTTTGTGGAAAGGTTTAGATCAAATCAAAGAGCAAAATAGAAATGTTTTTCTGCAAAAATGTTTTTCAGTTGACACTTTTTTTGCTAGGCTTATATTCTCTGAAAAGAGCTATTCATCAAAATGAATGCAGCCAATTTATGGGACATCTCTTGATATAATAAGTGATAGAAAAAAAGGGAATTGAAGGAGAATGAGGACTAGGCAACACATTCTAATTAAGAGGACTGCTTCTGATCGAGAATGAGCGGAGGATGGATGAAGGGGAAGAAAAGGATGACTGATTGGGCCCATTCCCTCTTTCATTTTCTTTCATTTTCTTCATTCCAATGGCTTTTTAAGACAAATTGCTTCTTTCCAATTGAGGAAGTTTTACCTTTTTTCTGATGGAGAACACTGCAAAGAATCAACAATCAAGTTTCTGTTCGAGAGCTGTGTTCTTTAAGCTTTTTACTTAACTTTAAACTTTAACAAGCTACCATTAGAGATCAAATCAAAGACATAGCGAATTTAAGTATGGAAGTAAATGGATTTCTAGGAGTTTGATTTTTAGCGTTTTGAATTGATTACGATTACGAAAGCAAGTTAACCAAGATAATCAAACAATCTAACTCGGACGTCCGATTTAGATTGAACTTATCGTGGACGTCCGATTTAGATTACAATCTATATCGGACGTCCGATTTAGATTCAATCTAAATCTTATATTGATTGAACGTCTTATATAGATTGAACAATATAAACAATATAATATAAACATGCTTAATATATGTTCTTAAGCGTTTTCTGTAGTTTTCTTGGTCAAAAAGGTCCTCCATCTGTAAAAAAAGCAGCATTTAATAGGAAAACAAGAAAACAAAAAATTCTCAAAGCGAAAACAAAAAATTCTCAAAAAAAGCGCAGAAAATTGCAAAAAAACGCTTAAGAATATATATTAAGCACGTTTATTATTGTTCGATCTGTATCGGACGTCCGATATAGACTGTAATCAATAAAAGCACCTTTGAAAAATGCAGAAAATTACAGAAAACGCTTAAGAACATATATTAAGCATGTTTATATTATTGTTCAATCTATATAAGATTTAGATTGAATCTAAATCGGACGTCCGATATAGACTGTAATCTAAATCGGACGTCCGCGATAAATTCAATCTAAATCGGACGGAAATCTAAATCGGACACAACACATACCGTAAATACTGTAATTGGACCTCATGGGGTACTATTTTTTCCCTCCCCCTCTAGGGTGGGGTACTATTAGAGGGTGGGGCACTATTAGAGGGTGGGCCACTATTTTACACCACTGTGCTTGTAATCGCCTTCTTTGATTGTCTTGTTCAGCCTCAGAATGTGCTCGACGATGGCCTTCTCAAATTTGACTCGGCAGCTTTTGACAAGTTGTTGTTGGTGCCCTCAAAGAAAGTTGGTGACGCCTCAAGAACGACTCCATCCAGCCATGGGTTCTTTTGAAAGAAATTTCAGCTTTTTTGAATCATAATAAGGAAATACATGAAAATTTTCCGCTTTAAAAGAGTTGTTTGTAGTTACGCGTTAGGTGGAGGTGGGGTACTATTAGGGGGGGTAGGGGGGTACTATTCCAGGGGGGTACTATTGGGGGGGGGTACTATTAGAGGGGGGTACTATTAGAGGGGGGGTACTATTAGAGGGGGGGTACTATTAGAGGGGGGGTACTATTAGAGGGGGGGTACTATTAGAGGGGGGGGTACTATTCCCCCCCAGGGGGGGGTACTATTAGAGGGGGGGTACTATTAGAGGGGGGGTACTATTGGAGGGGGGGTACTATTAGAGGGGTGGGGTCCAATTACAGTATTTACGGTAGATACTTTATTCAGGACCTGAGATAAAGTGCGCTAGATTTAAGATTAAAACACATGAATTCATACAAATAACACGAAAAGGGCCGATAATAAGCCAATTTTTTTGATTATGAAAAAAGAATTGCTAATTTATGCTAAAGAATTGCCTTTTAAATCAAAATCAAACTTTTCAAAAACCTTTTGAAGAAAGAATTTTGCAAGCTTTCAGGAAAAAACAATGGAGGAAAGAAAAAAAAATGAAGCAAAAGTGGTTTTGAGCCAAGCTGAGAGGGAATAATCAGAAATGCACTCAAAAAAAAGGATCTCTTTTTCTTCAACCTAACACAGAATATTCATATCATTCGCGTGTTTAAAGGAAATCCTTCACTCAATATATTTCTTTGAGTTTTCTTTGAGAAATTCTTTGAGAAATTCTTTTTTCAATCAATCAACCATCAAAAATATTTATGAAATATGAAACAAATGTTCTAAATAAAAATGAATTCAATAAAATTCAATAAAATTGAAAAGCTGGGAAAACTATTTGCATTTTCTATTCTATCTTAGTTTGATTGATAATTTGATGGGGGTGGGATAAATGCGACCTTTTTTTTGCGCACCTGGATATTTGCGCACCTTTTTGCTGGAAAAGGCCTTAGGAAAGACCGTAGAGCTTCGAAAATGTTTTCATACAAGGGAATCGTATGCGTAGATTCCGAATTTCGACAAATCAGACCTCGCTGACACGTCAAATTTGGGCTAAAAAGCAACAACTACGCAACTTAACGCTTTTCCGGAGCTTTTGCCTTTTAGCCCAAATTTGACGTAATCAAAAATTTTTATTCGTTTTCCTTTCAATTCAATTCAATTCTCAGCTCGATTTGCAAATAATAATTAGCTATTTTTGGAGAAATAAAATAGAAAAAGAGGATTTTGAACTCGATTCTTTTGTTGGCTAAACTTGATGAATAATTGATGGGGTGAAAGGGGGGAAAGTTGTTGAGTTGAGTTGAGAAAAATAGTAGAGGAAAGGGGGACAGAAAATGACAGAAAATGACACACAAGGGATGAAGCGCTTGTTTTGTTGTAGAAAAAGAATTTAGTTGTAAGTTATTAAAGAAATTTTAATCAAAAAAAATCAGATCATTTTCTTTACGAAATAAATCCGGAAGATGTTTTCGAGGAAAATTCTGATTTGAAAAAGGGTGAAAAGTTAAGCCATTCTTTCTTTGTCCTTTTCATACCTTTCTCCAAAAATAAAGGAGAATTTTGCGGAAAACATGATTTTTTTAACGCAAAACTTCAGAAAATAGCGAAAACTAGAAAATACTTATATTTCACTATGTAAAGACGGAAATTTCGTTTAGATTTAAAGCAAGAGCGTTCTTAAAAGCCAGTCAAGCCAGCCAAGCCAATCAAGCCAGTCAAGCCAATCAAGTCAGCCAAGCCAATTAAGCCAGTCAAGCCAGCCAAGCCAATTAAGCCAGTCAAGCCAGTCAAGCCAATCAAGCCAGTCAAGCCAAAATAGCTTTTCTCTGTGTTAAGCAAATCGATAGAAAACTTCACATAACAAGTCCAATCTAAAGATGTAGAGTCTAAAGATATTTAGTGACCATTAGAGTCCTGTTTTCTCGGAAAGAGTTTCCCAAATTGTGGGGGTGGATAAAAGAAGGAAGGTAAGGGAAGGGAAGGGAGTTGAAGGGGTGAAAAGGGTAGCGCCATTTTTGGGTTCTCCCCTCCTTTCCCCTCTCACTTCATCCTTTTTCTCAATCCCCATTTCTTCTCCTTTCTAAATTCTTTACTTTCCTCTCTTTTCCTTGTCTCAAAAAGGCGTTGAAAAGCCGTTGGAGATTTCCCATGAGAGAAATTCTTTACCACATCGATATATTTTGGCCAACGATCTCACCAAAACATTTTTTGG